TGTATCAGCTTGTCTCTCCAGTCCAGGATCTACTTGAGTTTCATTGGTTGCTGTGTTTCTCCAGCCTGTCTGTCTCTGTTTTTTAAAAACACTCTGTTGACATGTAACTCATGTACTATACAATTTACTCACTTCTTTGTAAATCAGTGGGCTTTTTAGCGTATTCACAAAGCTGTGCCACCATCATCATAATGAATTTTGAAATATTTTAATCATCCCCTGAAGAATCCCAACAAGCCTTAGGCAACCGCTCTTCTACTTTCTATCTCCGGATTTTCCAGTTCTGGACATTTCGTGCTATTTGTGGGCCTCTGTGACTGCTTTCACTCCTGGTGTTTTTGAGGCCGGTGTAGTGGCATGGATCAGACCTTCACTCCTGCGGCTGAATAGCTTTCCATTGTGTATAAAAGGAGCATTTTATCTACATTGTCTCTTTCATCTCTTTTCACCTAGGTTGATCGCTCACATTTTTTCTCTTCTGTCTCTCCTCACGTTGACTTTTTGGAGAGGCCAGGTCAGTTGTCTTGTAGATTGACCTACATTCTGGATCTGATTGCTTTCTTGTGCTTGGATTCGTTAAGTTCTTGGAGTCCCATGAAGCGGTGTTGGGGGGACACTCTCTAAGCATGTTGAGTGCTCCTTGCACCCTAAGGCACAGCTCCCAGGTTTGCAACTGCTGGACTGTTTGAATGCTTGGCTAATGTGGTGACTACTGGATTTCTCCTCTGAGGAGGTACAGTTTTCTTTCCTAATTTATCGGTAATCTGTGGGATACCAGTGTGATACTCTGTGACTATCGTGTTCCCTGACAGCCTTTCACTCAGGGCTTTGAACATCTATGATAATCATGACCTGAATCTGTTTTGACACTGGGGTTCCCAAATGGTGAATCTCTAATTCCTGGTGCATTTTTTTAATTGGCGATTTTCTAAGATGAAATATTTCTTCCCACCACGTTGGAGAGAGTCAGTTGTCGTTTTTGATATTCATGCTCAGACTGCCCCACATGTAGCCTGTGGGAGCCCTTTAAAGGAAGGGCTTTTGTTACATTATCATTGCTCTTTATGCCTTTTCTTAGCTCCTGCTGAAATAAGGTCTTCCGGGTTTACATTGTGTTTGGGACTAGCCATGTTTTCCAAGGAGCCTGGGTTCCTTTTCATGTGGAGTAGGATTTAGAAACAAATTATGTAGCTAGTAAATGCTGACACAGTCATGTAGTGTCCTTCCTTCCTGGCCTTTTCAGTGATACGAAGTAGGGGTGTGTGTAAGTGTGATGCATAGGTACATATCTTTGCACGTATATGACGCATGCACATGAAGCTGCGATGGTAGGCACAGATCCGCAGCAGCAGTCACAGAGACTGGTGTTGCCTGTGGGCCCCTGTCCCGGATCAGCACTGGTTGAAGTGATCCACAGCCAACACAACAGAGATCAGATGAGTACTGACCCCCACACACAGAGCAACCACCCTCCGTGTGGCTTGTATTCCTGTCCTGGTCTAAGTCATAGTGAGCAGGTGTGAGCTCCATGGCCAGTCTCACTCACAGAGTTTTATACCCTACAGTCTTGAGCCAAATGCTAGTAGAAGATGGAGATCTCTTTGCCTCCTACAAAGATACCTGGAAAGGAAGACACTGCCCCAGGTCTCCAAGTGAAGAGATGATGAAAACAGAACAAAGAAATATGCAGGCTTCGGTTCTGGGTTCCATTCTATTTACTAGTCTTGTGATCCTGGATGATTTAGCACCTGGAAGCCTTAGTATCATGGTCTGCAAAAACAGATAAGACGCCACCTAACTTGCTGGGGTTGTAAGGATTAAGCCAGATTAAGCACGTCAGATGCCAAGCCCGCTGCTTGCCGAGATAAGCACGCACTCAGTAGCGGTAGCTCTTGCAGTGCTTCCTCCCCTTAATCCTCCTCCTCTTCCAGCTCTGCATCCCCAGCTCCAGCAGCATCCACCTGTAGACTTAGAAGTCCGGCCGAGGATGCTGGAGCACCTGATGCTAGGCACACAGTGACGGTAGCAATGTAATATGCATCTATGACGGTGGACAGCAGACCACAGAATCTGCCCCAAATGCAGCCCTTCCTCTTCCTAGCATATACATGCTTGGCCAGTGTCTCTGCATGCAAGAGAGAGAACTCTTCTCTTCCAGGAGAACTTCTGTCCCCATCTCTTCTCCTTGGGGACTGACACTGTGTCTCTTGCCGTGGAGCCTCTGTTTGCCTTTTTCCTCCAGCAATTTTGGCACGTGACGTGGGACGGAGCGGATAGCATGGGAAGGTGCAGGGTAGGCCAGATGAATGAGTTGATGCCTTAAAAATGTGTACAGAAACTCTGAACAACTACAGGCAGCCAGAGGGGTTACTGCATGTAGACACCTTGAGAAAATGACAGAAGGTTGACCAGATCAGTATGCCTCCAAGGGCTTCTATATGGGAGCAGCTCACCCCACCAGGGACCTGCTGGAACAGCAGCTCTGAGAAGTACAGCTGAGTCTAATTTTGGATAAGCTCCTCAGTCCTGATGTACTGCACAGCTTAAAGACCAGCAATAACAATCCCATTTTATAGATGGTAAAACTGAGGCTCAAGGAATTCAGAGTCCTTGGCCAAGATCTCAAAGCCAGTAATCAGTGTCTGGTCTGTGAAATGCATGGTCCTTAAGGTGAATTACTTTTGCTGAGAATGCTAAGGATGTCACTTGTTATGAGTTGATTTTATTTACCAGTCGGAGGAGGGTTATTTGGCAGTAAGAAATGAGCACTTTGTCAAGCTCTCAAGTGACAGCCTGACACTCACCACAGCAGCTGGGTGGTCTAGGGTTGGACTGGCCGGAGGGGGGTGAGGGCACTGCTGGCTTCCTTGAGCTTCACTGGCAAAGCCCTTGCATGCTTTCCCTGGCACTATATCTGTGAAGTGTCAGACATTTCTTCTATTCCACCAAGGATAGGGTCAGCCCAGAAGTCAGTGCCAGGATGTGCAACAGGATGTCCACCTGCCATAGCTTAGGGGTAAGGTCACTGTGGGGCTCAGGACAGGAGACATCTCAGGTCCTGCCTGGGGCCCCCTGGTGTTGAATCCCTAATGTAATTGCTAATTGCACGAGGAAAACCCAGGGTTGAAGTTCCCCTTAGGGTCATCTGCTCTTAAGGAAGGTTTGACATTTTCAGCTAGCAGCTCTTCGTTTTGTCTACCAGCAGACCCCTAGCCTGGGACTTGGGCAAGCTGCCAAGGACCTGTGGACTCAGAGGTCCTTGGGACTTTGCTCTGCCAGCTGGCAGCAGAGAAGACAGGAAAAGGCAACCCAGAGAGAGACTGAGTGAAAGCTGATGCTCAGCTTGGTTGAGAAATCGCTCCTGCCTCCGGGAGCAGGGAGAGCTGCAAGTCTCAGCGGTTACTGAGCAGCGCCCCTGTGCACATTACACATATTTAGGGCTTGATATTTTGGACCCGGGAGTTTCAGAATAAGATGTCATGTGCCGAATCCCCACCGGCAGGAGGTGGTGGCCTGTGATTGGCCTTAACTCTCTGCTCCCCGGTGGATTCTGCGGCTCAGACAGTGAGCAGCGCAGAAGCAGTAACCAGCAGGGGGCAGCGGAGGGGTTAACTCCCCAAATCACAGATTGAGTGGGGCGGAGGGGAGACCTGGTTGGGAGCAGTTTTCTCAGAGGTATGCAGGAGCCTTCTCCCACTTTGCCTGCAGCCCGGGAGCTGAGCATGGGAGCAGAGTGGACCCAGGAGATCTTCCTGCCCGTCCTGGCCGAGACTATGGTGACTTAGGAGTTAATGGCAGGCTGAACTTCACCAGCACAGGGCTCTTAACCAATCCCTCCACCCTCAGGGAACCTGAATGGGGAAAAAAAAGTCCAATATGGAGAACAGCTTTGATGATGTTTCTTACCTCTCTCCCCAGAACCTGGGATCCTCCTCACCAGGCAAAAAGCAGAGCAAGGAAAACACCATCACAGTAAGTGGCTCACACTGGGTGCTTCCAGGTCGGGTGGTAAGCTGGGGCCTTTGGCCACAGCTGGGCTGTTGCTATGACAACGTGGACCGCCAAGCAGAAGGGATGCCCAGCCTGGAAACGGGGAAGTTCCAAAGCGTGGATTTAGCTGAGTGACCCCAGCCCCACCTCCCCTTCCTCTGGCCGTTTCACGTGTCCCTCGTTCTCCCATGGGGAAGGAAGTGGGAAGGAAGGTGGTTGGAGCGACACAGGAGCCATTTTTGTGGGGCGGGCAAGGGAAGGTGCGTGTGCGGGAGTGGGTTGACGGGGGTGGACTGCGCTGTGTGCGAGTGATGTGACGTGCAAATTACAGCCACAGCAGGGTTGCTTTTGTGCGGGAAACTTCTGGAGGATGTCAAAGTTACAAGCGAGAGAAGGCACCCTAAGAATAGAGCTCCTGGGAGTTCCTGAGGAAGCTTCTGCTTGGAGCGGCCAGTCCACCTCCCAGGGCTTCTCCAGAACCCCGCCAAGCGCCTGTGTGGAGTGGGAGTCCCACCCCGCCTCGCCATCTCAGCTTTCTGCCCGACTGGGGGGTTGGTTATCTGTCCCTCCAGGTAGGAAAGGAGCTGTCCAGCTGCTCGAACAGCCAACGACGTGGAGACTTGAGAAGCGGGGTCCTGGGTTTACTATTTTGGCACAAATGCAGAAGAGTAGGGAACAGGGGACTGCCCTCTTGAGCTCCATCTCACACCATCCTGAGCCGTTCTAACCAACCCCATGGAGATACAGCCAGGAGAGGTTGTGTTTCCCTGGCTTATCCCGGCTGGAGGTCCTGCTTTGTAGGAAAACAAATTAGGTAAAACCAACAGGAATAACTGCTGCCACTTTTGTGTGCATTTATCATGTACCAGCAGTGTTTCAAGTGCCCTGTTTCACCCACTGGCTGTGTGAGGTGTAGTTAATAGGACCAATACAGTTGAGAGATTGTGTACCTGGACACTGAAGCCAAAGCATCACTTATGAGCGGTACGACACCTGGGGCAAGTTGCTACAGCTCTCCCCTCAGAGGTGTCCAGGTCTGTCTGTAAAACAGGGAAGTGGAGCTGCAGTAACATAGGGGTAGTGTAAGGACATTCGCTAGTGCAAAGCACTTACACACGCTTAGCGTATAGCAGGTGCCCAGTACACACTAGTGTGATCTTCATCCACTTACACATGAGGAAACTGAGGCACAGAGTAGCACTATAAAGCTATAAAGCATCAGGATACCCAGCTATAAAGCATCAGGATTCAAAACCTATGCTTTCACCCGTCGGCACTGTCCTTCTGGGACTGGCTTGGGTTCCTCAGGTCATCAGCCCCTTTCTACCTCCCCGTTCCCCCTGGTGGCTGGACAGAGTGGCTCAGCCTGCTGGGAGAGTGGGATGGCAGTAGCCTCTCTATTTCTAGAGGACCTGAAAGAGCTGGACGGGGCAGGGAGCCCACAGGTGCAGACTTCTGGAGGGCACAGTCTCTGTCTTCAAGTCTGTTGCTGTGCACCCCAGAATGTGGGGGTAAAGCAGTAGCTCCCCAAAGTCTACGATGTAGGGGGGAAGAAGGAAGAGAAGAAAGTGGAGGGAGCCACTCATTGGTGTTCTAGAAGATAAACAGAAGAAGTAAAGCGTGAAAGGTAGAGTGATTGGCTGACCAGAGTTGTCTTAAAGGCTGTGACGCTGGTGCCAGGTCATGAGATGGGTAGCTTCTGCACTGTGCTGCAGCCAGAGCTTCAGGCTCCGTCAGTGGGCTGCATGTGGCCCTTGGATGGCACACCTTATGCATCCCTGCTTCAGTGCCTTCTCTTACTTTTTTCCTACTAACCTGCATCAGTGCTCCTGATGAGATGGTTTGCAGTGTGTCAGCATTTAAGGTCTCTGAGATACTTGTTTCGGATGCCAATTCCTGGAGCTACCCTGCACCTACCCTGGGTCTCTCTGGGGCCAGGCTGGCACACTTGTAGAGGTGTGACATAAACACTTGTGCCTTAGAGAATTTTTACGGGGGAAACTGAGCACAGGAGGCACTGACCAAAGGCCACAGAGCAGGTGAGGAGCGGAGCCCAGGACTTGAAGCTGGCTCTCCTGGCTACCAGCCCAGGACGCTGCCCAGTGCACCGCCTGGCCACCAGGGCCACACACACCTCCGGGCAGAAGACTTCTGTACCCCTGCTCCTCCCCGCACATGGCGTTCTCCCCATGCCCAGACCCTTGTTCTGGGTTCTGATCCCTCAGAGCTCAGAAGGAAGGCTTGGCCCTCCCCAGGACACTGGGACTCGAGATTCCCTCCCTGCCCACGTAGGGAGGAGCGGAGCAGCTTCCCTCCCTGGTCCACAGAGCAGACAGTTCCAGGCCTGCGCAGCAAAGGGTGTTGTGTCCATGGCCAAGGTACAAGAGCAGGATTCTGAAGCGCAGTGGCCTGGAGCTGGTTCGGAAGGAACTGACACACGGGCGACCTGGCAGCAGTGGGCAGGGCCTGGCAGCCTGGTCCGATCCCGTCCCTGCTGGCAGCAGCGCACTGGCAGGTGGAGTGGAGAGGGGCGGGTACGCATGGCAGCTCACAGCCGCTGGCACAAACGTGACATGTCAGAATCTCGAGGACTCCCGGAGGGATGACAGCAAAGGCACGCAGCCACCTTCTCTGCTGGCAAGAGGGACTCGGGGACTCTGATGCTTAGCCTCCGCTCCCCAGCATAGCCCGTCTGCAACCCGGCACCCTGGGCCGGGGCTCGGAGTGGGGAGGAGCCCTGGGGCCTTTTCTCTCTGCTGGTCTGAGGCCCCGGCCAAGATCACCCTCCCTCGGGGAGAAAATGCAGGGTCTGCTTTGGTGTCAGCCGTGTTGCCTCTCTGCTGCAAGCAGGCGGATCAGACAGCCGGGTAGAGGGGGCCATGGCCTCTGCCCACCTCCACCCCCGCTGGCACAGCCCGTTCTTGGGGTCACTCCCTACCCCCCACCAGCCCCTCAGGTGGGCCACCCCACGTGCAGCAGCTCTCATGCAGTGGCTGGCTGCTCTACTGACAGCTGCGCCCCTTTGGCAGCCCCTTGGTGTGGGACTTTTGAGGGGATGTTTGCACAGCCCTTGTGGCTTGGGCTGCCCCTGGGCAGAATGTCCCGGCAGGAGCATGCGCCGCACCGAGTCCACAGCAGTGGGGCAGGGTGTGTGGTGGAGGTGGAGGTGGAGGTGGGGTTTACTCCCTTCGCCTGAGGGTTGGAGAGAACCTCACTGGTACTAGAGAGAAGACGCAGCCGGGGGAGCCCTGTATCTCCGGGGAGGGGGTGTGGGAGAGGCCCCTGGAACTGCCCCCACCCTTTGAAGGGCATTTGGAGGCTCTTCTGTTGTGCACCCTTCCTGCTTGGGCCCTGGCCATCTGTGGGACAGGGCATATGGTTTCCCCGCAGTGTTTTGGAGAGGTAATGTGGGAGGGTTAGGAGCCTGGAGCCCGGAGCCAGATTACCTGGGCTCAGACCTTGGCTCCACTACTACATACAACCTGTGTGAGCCTGTGTAAGTTGCTTGACCTCTCTGTGCTTCCGTTTCACATCTGTAAGAAGCGGGTAGTAGCAACACCTGCTCCCAGGGCTGCTGTGAGCATATGAGTTAATAAGTACGAAGCACCTAGGGCACCCTTAGCTATTGCTGAGTACAAAGGGCTCCTAAGCTGTCTCTTGTGCGCAGGGTGCCTGATGAGCCTGCGGCTCACGCTGTGCCCAGGAGGCTTTGGGAGCACACAAGCTCCTGCCCACAGGGGAAGCTGGACCCTGGTACAAACTGCTAGAGAGTGTCCTCCAGGAGGAGGCAGGGATTTGGAGCAGAGGTTTCCAGGGGAAAGCCCTGTCGCCTTGCTCTTCCCTCTCTCGGTGTTGTGGCCCTGCAGGATGGGGGCCTGTGTTGCTCCCAGGGCTTTTGTTCCGGGGGCTGCACCTGAACATGAGGCCTGGGGTCATGCAAGGACAGAACAAGGTAAGAGTGATGGCCTAGGACTTAGGAAGCCAGCTTAGGACCCCTCTCTGCCATTCCTTAGCTGCACGACAGTGGTAGCGTTAGCCTCTCTGGGCCTCAGTTTCTCATCTCCAGCCTAAATCTCCTGGGCCGGCTGCGTGAGTGTGCACCAGGCCAATGAAAAGCGTTACAGTCGGCTGCTTCCTGGACATCAGCATGCCACCACTCACCAACCACTTCCACCACCTCGCCCCCTACGTCCAGTCCTGGCGTTGGAGGATCCTCCCGTCACCCAAGCCAGCCATCTTGGGGTTTGTCAGCTTGGCCCCTGCTGATCTTTCCGGGCTTTGTAGTGTGCGGTTGTTCTGTGCTCTGCAGGAAGTTCATCGGTCTTTTCTCACCTCTACCCACCAGGTGCCAATAACAAGCCCGTCTTGCTAGGTTGTGACAACCAAAACTGCCTCTGCATTGTCAGATGTCCCCTGGAGTGGGGACACAATCATAGATAAGCAACACTGCACTGACCTCATGGAGTCGCTCCCGTTAAATCTGCAAAGCATCTGCAGACTCTTCTACTTAGGCTCCCTTCCCCGTGCCGCCCTAAGCCACTGTTACCACTCCCCTGTCACCTTGCAGCCCCCACGGTGACCAGCCACACTCTCCCTCTATGAGGCCTCCAGTCTGCAGTGAGACTGCTCCACCTGAGAGCACACTCCTGCTCCTGCTGTTCTCCTGCAAGATGCTCCTGGGCCACCGCTGCTCTCAGGAGATGCCTGCAAGGCCTGTTCCCTCAGCACCATCACCTTCCCACTCCACTCTGAGACAAGCCAGGCCGAGCAGCACTTTCTCCAACTCTGGAGTGTGGCCTCAGCCCCGGGCCCCTTTCCTCCCTGCAATACTCCTTTTACCACCCCACCTCCTGCCTGCGTCCTACTCTTACTACCCAATGGCACTTCCTTCCTGTAAGATCCTTCCCTGGGACCCTGGCCCTTCTGCAGCTCCAGCACCCCATGCATACCCCAGTGGCGGAAGCCACTTATGTATCTCCCCCAGTATCCTAGTGACGCAGACTGTGAGGGCAGCCACTCTACCTGGAATCTCTAGTCTCCAGTCATTGCACTAAGAAGCATGTATGGGGTGCCTGCTGTGTGCTGGGTGGTGGGCTAGGTACTAGGGAAACTTCAGGAAAAGGATGGTCCCTTTCCCCTGTGGACAGGCTGTTGGCAAGGAAGAGAAATGTTAAATAAGCTGACACAAGAAATGCCATGAATGCACTCCTGCTGGGTCCTCGCCCAGTGTGTGGCCCTGAGAACTTGGGAAGGCGCTGTGAGCTTTGCAGTCAGCTCCTGCTGGATTCACATACCTCTACCAGCCTTAATTTCCCCTCATAAAGTAAGATGAAGCTCCCTACTTCTGGAGTTGCTGGGAAGCTGAAATGAGAATGCGTGAAGCTCTTGGTAGTATCGCTAAGTGAGGATTTTCTGGAACCCCAAGTCAGTAAGGTGCCTCCCAGGAGGCGGGTGAGGTGCAGTTCTCCAGATACCCACCAGGGGGCATAAGGCCCTGAGGAGTCCAGGAAGTTCCAACGGCTCTGGGAAGGAAAAATCCCAGAGAGAGGCTGTGACAGCGCATCCTCGGATCCCTGGCCAGGCTGTCCCAGAACCAGTGTCCTCAAAGAGTGGCCAAAACAAAAAAAGATGTGTCTTCAACCTCCCCTACCTTGCTTTCCCTCGAGCCCACCAGCTCTTCTTTGGTGGTCATTACAGAGTCCTCTGAGGGACCCCTCACTCTAGACCCTGACCCTTCCAGCCCCTCCCATGGGCATCTGTGTGGAAGACCATGTGGCACCGGGACCCATCCACCATTGTCTTCCACTGTGGGGGTCCCAAGGTCTCCTTGGGCCAGGCCCCTGTCCCTACTGCATGGGTGCTGCTTCTCAAAGTGTGGTCCCTGGACGTCACCCTCACCTGGAAGCACAGGTCCCACCCCGACCTCCTGAATTAGCAACACTGAGCGGGCCCCCGCAGTCTGCATTTCAGCAGACCCTCCGGGTGACTCTGAGGCACACTCAGCCTCGGTTCTGGGATGGAGCAGGGACTGCTGGGACTTAGGAAGGCTTCCTAGCCTCTCTGCCAAAATCTGTGGCCTTTCTGATGGCTGGGTTTAGAGCCAGCTGGGATTCACCCCTGAAGGGGCCACCCCTGGTATCATCTCCACTTTGGGCTAACAGGGCTGTCTTCGTGAGCACCCTGGGGTGGGGAGTAGCGTCCTTCTCAGAGGGTGGATCCCCTGAGGATGGACGCTGGAGAAGGCTGGACAGGACCCACTTCTCCCTCCTGACCACCTCTGGCCCAGCTGCCTCCTCTCTTGGTAAAGTTCTTGTTTCGTCATTGAGAGGTCAAGGCCAAGAGCCATTTGAATGAGGCAAGAAGAAAGGGGAGGGAGAGGGAGTGAGCACGGGACCTTCAGAAGGCTTTTGTAACCCGCTTCTGGACCTGCACGTTCTGTGTCTATGGGCTCAACCATCTGTGGGTTGAAAAGGTTCAAAAATGGCACCTGTACTGAACTTATACAATCATTTTCTTGTTGTTTTTGCCTAAACAACACAATATAATAACTGTGTACATAGCATTTACATCATACTAGGTGGTATGGATAACGTAGAGATGATTTAAAGTATACATGAGGAGGTACGTAGGTTATGTGCAAACACTATGCCATTTGGTATGAGACAGTATATCATGAATTTGGACATCCGTATGGGTCCTGGGCCCAGTCCTCCTGGATATCGAGGGACAACTGTACCTCCAGTCTGCTAGTTCCGTGACTCTTAATGCCCACTTGATCTTAATGTCATGGTTCTTGTATCATTAAATTTGATTGAAATTGTCACGAGCTCTGTTAGGAAGCAAAATAAAAGTGGATTGTGATCATCATCCACATTTGTTATGAAAACAATGGCTGGAACACAAAATAAGGCCTGTGTAAAAGTTCACAATACATCCCTTGATTCCGTGATTGTCTCAAGCGTCGCCTGGTAGTGGGGGTCATTGAAGCCTTGAGGGAGACTCACCTGTGACCGCACCACGGTGCCCTCACTCCCGAAGGCTTGGGGAGCCCACTTCCTGAGCTGAGCATGGAGGCTGCACCCCCACCCAGCGGGCTGATGCCAGCCAGGGTCACCTCACCTCATGTGGCGCAGGAGAAAGTCCCCAGCCTCGGGAATCCCTCAGGCCCCACTGATCAGGGGCTGGGTCATTCCTGCCCTGGATCCCACTGTGTCACACTTCTCTCCAGGGCGGGGTCCCCACCTCACCTCAGCAGCTATCAGTATCCAAGGGGAGGGGTTCCTCTCTTTGGCTGGCACTTCTGGCCTTTTCTCCCCAGACGCCAAGTGGGACCTGCACCCCTGAAAGGCAACAGTGAGGGTGGTTGGGGGGTGGGCCCTGGACTGACTTCCCTGCAAACTTCCAAGTGGACCCGCCTGCGAGCCCCTAAGCCCGAGGTCACGTCTGGAGGTCCCTAGGCCTGACTCTCCTGACAGAAGTGTTTGTGAAGAAGACATAGCGTTGTTTTTTATTTATTAAGTTTATTAATATTATTCTAACCCTTGAGTTAATTGCTTACACTCAAGAATTGAGAGAATTCAATGAAAACTCTGCCTTTGAGCTTCCCTCCAGCCATTGCATAATCTGGTGATACTAGGCCCCTCTTCCTCAGCTTGGGACTGCTCCGTAATCCCCAGCTCTGTCCAAAGCAGAGCTTTGTTGGTGCTCAAATCAAATTGCAATTCCTGCGATGTGTGGGCCCCTCGCAGGTTTGCATGCAGTTCCTAGGTCCTCAGGAGTGTTCTGCAAGGTTCTTCCCTTAACCTCCAACATCTCCCACCTCAGCAGATGCTTTGGGGTGGGGAGAGGTGAGAGAAGGATTGGGGTCTCGAAGCCACATCAGTGGTAACAGCAATGAAGCCATTTTCACAGAGCAAGGGAAGCCGGGGAGTACCTTGAGCATATGAGGCAGAAAAAAGTCCGAGACAACCCAGAGATGGCACTGAACCCCCCTTGGCATGGACCGTCCCCAAACAAGCAACCTGGGCTCATGACTTGACACTGTTGTTGTTCATAGAATGTGGACATACCGTGAGATGTGTGAGGTGTTGTGAGATAACCTCTCACCTGTGACTTACTCGTATTCCTGTCCTCCATCCCACTGTTCCTTTCTTGGGAATATGCCATACACAAATAACCAAATGTGCTTATACACCCAAGCTTTTCATGCAAATAGAAGCATATAATAATTCTGTTCTACATCTGCCTTTTCCTTCCCCCACCCTTTTTTTTTTTCCTGTGCTGGGGATTGAACCCAGGGCCTTGACACACTAGACTACCACCCTACCACTGAGCTACACACCCAGCACCCCTTTCTTTTTCACCTAACAATATATCCTGGTATACTTTCCTTACCAGTGTGTAAGAATTTTATCTCTGTGTCTTTCCTTGCAAATACAACTTCATGGATGCTGACCTGTTTCTTATTCGTTCTATCCATCCCCCTGGATGGGACAAGGAGATTTCTGGTCCAGCCTTTTTGCCAGCATAGGTAGTGCTGTAGTGAAACCCATGTGCGTGCGTCCCTGCACCCATGGTCAGATCATCTGCAGCACAGACTCTTAGAGGAGCAATTGCCAGATTGAAGGATCTAGATGTTTGCAATCCTATTAAATCACCCTCCAAAGACCTTGCAGCAGCTCCCCACTGCTGGCAGGTGTGTGTGTGTGTGCGCGCGCCCGCACGTGTGTACGCCTGTTTCCTTTATTTGAAATACCGGATACAAAGCTTAGGAAGACCCCACTGCTGTCCATTAAACTGTCCCGAAGGGAAGGCTCATGGGTGATCTGCTCAGGGAAAAAGGCCTTTCCCACTTCTCATCCGCAGAAAAATTGTTTTCCTCCTCATTCTTGCCCCACAGATAAACTGTGTGACGTTCCCTCACCCAGACACAATGCCTGAACAGCAGTTGCTGAAGCCAACAGAGTGGAGCTACTGCGACTATTTTTGGGTAAGCGGTGCCTCAGTTCCCCAACGCTGTGCCCTCATGACCAGATGTGCATATCTGGGAGGAGCAGGAGGGACCTTGAGCTCAAAGCAGAGAGACCTTTCTTAATGAAGCCTGAAGCACTGGCTGTCGATTCCTCGTCTGAGAGGGGAACTGGAGACTGCTGGAGTCCAGGTCACTTCATAAGTCTCAGAATCAGCAGGACTTTTGCTCGTGGCAGCATGGAAACCCCAGCATGTACCAGCGTTCAGGGAAGCAGGAGGGAGGGCCACTTGATGCTCAGTGAGGGCAGGAGGCTGGAAGTTAGCTTCAGGAGACAAACCTAGGCTCTAGACTTGTTTGTCCCCCATGCAAGTGACCTTGGACAAAAACTTCACCTTCCTGAGACCCGTTGTTCCACCAAAGTCATGAAGAGGCTGTGTGCAAGGACCCACGGAGATCTCCAGCTGCTCCAGGACTTTTGCATGTTGCTTAATGGCACAGACTTCCAACTTTCGCAGCTTGAGAAAAGCCCTGTGGTAGGCGTGGGTGCGCAAACATTGGAGCGTGTGGCTCAGTGTCACTGACGTGTGCACTTCAAACGGTGAAAATGGTAAACTTTTACACTATGTGCATTTTGCCACCATTCAAGTGAATAATTTTTAAAAGAAGTTTGACCAGAGGGCTTTGGGTCAGGACCACCAAGGAAGGGACCCCGCTTTGAACAGGACCCAGGAGGTATCCAGAAGACCCTTTATAGTTTGACTGGTAAATGGGGTTCTCTGCAAACCTCCACAGCCCCTTTCTCTCCCCTCATTCTAAATGTCTGATCCAAAAGGGGTCCTAGAGATGTGGCCACTCCTGTCGCCAGGGTATGGTGGCAGGGCGAGCTAGCTAGGATCGGAAGGACATCGTGGCGGGGCAGAGAGGGGAGCCTGGGTCTCCTGGGACACTGGGCATTGTTCTGAGCAGTGTGCCTGTCAGTCATACAGAAAGCTTGTCTTAGCTCCTCCCATTAAGTATTGAAAAGCATAATCCCGGATTCGCCATGGGGAGAGGCTGCTGGCGGGAGCATGCTGTTTATTCAGGCAGACAGTCGGGGCCTAGGGCAGAGGTGAGGTGGTTGGCCAGCAGCACAGCCTTATGGATGGAGATGCCGGGATACATGTCAGGCAGGGAAGGGCAGGGAAGTGTGTCTGAGTGCCGGAGGAAGCACAGGTAACACTAGACAAATCATTTCTTTTTCTTTCTGGGTGGGAAACAGGGTCTTACTATGCAGTTCAGGCTGGCGTGAACTCATTGTGTAGCCCAGGCTGGCTTGAGCTCACAGTGATCCTCCTGCCTCAGCTTCCCAAGTGCTGTGATTACAACTGTGCACCACCATGCCCGGCCTTCATTTTGAAATTTTAATAACATTTGTTTGCAAAATTAGTTGGGCTCTAAGGTCCCATTTCAAGACTTGACGGTGTTCCTCAGGTCCTGCCATTTATTTTAAAGTAACTGGTGATGGATACTATTTATTGAGTACTTCTTACATTCTCAGCTGAGCGCATAGCATATATACATATCCTAAAATGCCTACATGTCATTTATATATAGCCTTTATCCCAAAATGACTCTAGGGGATTATCTCATGATTTTCCCAAGGAGTCCAGGACCACCTTAGGTCGCTCAGTCAGAATTTCAGTCCTGCCAGCCTGCTGTTGTCTCCTCTGACTTCCCTCCAATCCAGTTTCTCCCCAGCAGCCTCTAGGATCTTTTTATTTCCTCGGCCATGAACTTGTATGAGTGTGTGTCAGAGGATGTTACTGCCTAAGTCACAAGTGCAGGAAGCTGGTCAAAGACAGGCTGGTGTGAGAGTGGCGGCGCCCGCCCCCAGGGTCACACAGACTGTCCCAGCTTCGAGTCGGAAGGTCAGGATTCCCAGGAGTCAGATGGCTGCAGGAGCCACCTCTTCAGAAGTCCTGGACCAGGGATGGTGAGGCTTTTAGTGACCAAGTGTCCAGACCACAACCCAGACCCTACTTATGAATCACAAAGTGCCAGCACTGCAATGAAACCTGAATAGTGACGCTTTAGTTTAAGAAAAGCAACTCATCCGTTAACATCTTTTGTCTTAAAAACACAGCCCCACACGTGCCGTAGGTTTGCCACCACTGAGCAGGAGAGCCTGGGCCGTGGCCGCTTGCCCTTGGAACGTGGGCATGGGGGCAGCCTCCACACTAGGGCTTGCGCATCAGTCATAGTCTGTTGTGCCCTGCTGTCACCGAATACTGGAGATGGAGTGACGTGTCACAAATGGAAACTTACTCGGCTCAGAGCCGTGGAGGCCGGGCATGTAATATCAAGGTGCCAGAGTCTGGTGAGGGCCTTCTTACCAATCAGCCCATGGCAGAAGGCAGCTGGCAAGCGAAGGCGAGAGCGGCCACACTCGCTGGGTTGCTGTAGTAACAGCATTAACCCACCCCAGAGGGCAGAGCCCTCCTAACCCCCCTCCTAACCCCAGTGTTGCACTGGGCGCTAAGATCCCTGACTCCTGAGCGCTGGGGACACGTTCTGGCCGTGGCAGCATCAGAAAGTCCCATGGCAGTCAGGGCTTCAGGAGAGATGGTACAGACCACTGCTCCTGTCGTTCGCAGCTGGGGTCAGGGGTGCCAGGCAAATCGGGGTCCTTTCTGGGCTTTCACTTCCCTACACTTCATTCTCCCTGGCTGCAGGTACCAGCTATTTCTGCTTCCTTCCTAGGCGGATAAGAAGGACCCCCAGGGCAATGGCACCGTGGCTGGGTTTGAACTGCTGCTCCAGAAGCAACTGAAAGGCAAACAGATGCAGAAAGAGATGTCGGAATTCATCCGGGAAAGGTAAAGCCTGGATCCCGCCAGCTCGGGGCACTGCTGCAGGGCCACCCCAACCCATGTGCCTAGGAGAGTCAGCAGAAGGACTCGGCACCCCACGTCCAGCCCACGTCCAGCCTGGGCCTGGGTAGTGCTAGGGGGAGGGTAAGACTGGAGTCCCAGATCCAGGGCCCCGGGATAGATCTAGCCAGCAGATGTATAGCTTTGGTTCCTATCGAGTGTTTGTAAAGATTCTTTTAAAATACTGGGAGATTTTTCCATTAAAATCAGGACACCTAGCATCTGTTGAGAAACAGAGTTGTAAAGATGGACTTCCTGTGCTTCATGCCACCATTGGCTGGAGCTGAGAAGTAGCGCCATGTGGATGGGACGCGTGTCCCCATTTCCTACAGTCTGCACCACTCCCTGTTATCCCCTCACAGACTGCTTCGCTCCTTTACGGCCTCCCTCCCCCTCATTTGAAGCACTGCCCCTTACCACAGCCTGGAGAAGGACTGGCACCTTTCAGTTCATCTATGAACCGAAGCTGTCCCCGGCCAAAGGATGTAAAAACATCCCCCACCTTGAGGGATTGTAACAGTGGTTGATCTAAGGAGCTTTAGAACATAGGTAAAGAAACAATAAATTCAGCCCAACAGAAATAAGTAAAACTACCCAAAACAAAACAGAGAGAAATCCCGGCTCCATCTCCCTTCTCTCTCTTTCTCCATATCTTGGGAATCTACTAAGCACACACTCACCTACACACCTGCACACACACCTGTGTACACAATTTTCCAACTAGTTTCCAAGGCATACTAGCAATACTTATAGCAAATGGCAATGTCTTTCAAAAATAATTCTTTTCATTATAGCAACAATAATCAGGAAATAATGCTTTGGCATTTTAAAGCACCCTTTTCCTTAAGAGGCCCATTTTCTATTTGTGTAATCAAATCTTTGTTTTATGTCCCATTAAGCTGGTAGGAAATTGGAAGACTTCATGGCTCAGGTACAAGAAAACAAAATGATAAAACAGGCAAATAGGGAAAGGGTGGTCTGAGCCCGAGCCTGAACACGCGTGTGGTTTACACCCTTAGCGGTGTCATGGCAGCATGTGCATGGTCCTCCCAGAGCACATGTGGATTCCTGTATCTTTTCTCAGTTTACCTTGGGGTCCTGTAGGGAGAAAGGGCCTTCCAGAGCTAGAAGAGGTGAGAGTATAGGTGCAGAAGAGGGAGTGTGCCTAGCTAGGGACAGCTTCAGGCAGTTGGGCCAAGAGTGGAAGTTACACAGGCTTGCTCCAAAGATGAGAGCCAAAAGGCAGATGGCACACACACCACCTGCACCTGGCACCTGCCGTTGACATTTACATGGCTAACCTGTTTCTAGCGATCTTGGCCGCAGTCTGAAGGTATATTCCATGTCTTCCTAGGCAGGGCTGGAGGTGAAGCCAGAGGGAATGGAGAGGAAGCGATAGAGGCGAGAGATGAGTCAGTGTTAAACTCTGGAGAACCAAGATAGTGGCCAGAGATGGAGGTAAAAACAAAGCAGGATGAGAAGGATGAAAACTGTGTGTTTCTGCACCAAATCCTACACCAATTATTCCTCAGGAGGCTGCCCCTGGGCCTTGATCACCATGCTGTCTGTGTCACTGCATCCTTTGGTGACGGCTGCCTGAGCAAGCAGGGAGCCCACTCTGCAGCTTCAGGCTCTCGGAGCTTCTCTGTTCCCCACAGCAGGGGCTGTCTGAGGTCCCAGTCCTGTGCTCACATGGGTAGCACATGTACCAGTTCTCCAGCCAGCTCTGGTTGTGATAAGTACAAATCTTTTACCTCCCACCACGCCCCAAAGGCCCACTTAGGAGGGAAACACTGCCTTTGATGGCACACCTGACATGATGTGCCCGATCGTACTAACACTTCCCAGAAAGTTGCCCTGACAGTTAGTCGAGGGCCTGCCTGCCGGAAGCTATATCCAAGGCAGTATTCTTCTCCAGGGAAATAGAATTGAGCTGCAGTTCTGGGCACTGTCTGGTTTCCATGGAAATGCTTATGCCCTTAACAGTACTTGGCAGTTAGAGGCATTGGAGATGGAGACCATGGAAGGATGTTCTGTTCTTGCTTCTAAGGGGCAAAGGCCATCTGGGAGCGTCTGAACCCAAAGTTCTGGGCTGGAAGGGACAGAGGACACACTGGGCATTCCTGCTGGACCATTCCACGTTGCAGTCATCATGAGAGGGCTCTTATGCATCCAGCCTCGTGCTCAGAGCTGTGTAAATGACAGCGCTTATTTTCAGTGTGGAGACAGGCAGAAACACCCCACTATACAGATGAAGAGATGGAGGTCCAAAGAGTTTCTTTCATTTATTCAATAAATATTAAACACCTCCTGAGTCAGGTAGACAGATGAAAGCCACATATGCTCAGGGCTTGTAATCTGTCATGATCTACTGGATGCCTTTACAGTTTCTCTGGCAGGGAGGCACATCTGATCCACAGTCTAGCAGTGGAGCACCAACGCAGTATGTTTTCTCCCTTTGCAGGATAAAGATTGAAGAAGAATATGCAAAGAACTTAGCTAAGCTCTCTCAGAACTCCCTGGCTGCACAAGAGGAAGGGTGAGTTGGGAGAAGAGTGGTGAGGGGGCAGGGGACACTGAGGAAGAGCCACCCCTTTTCACTTATCACTAACCCCTGGCACAGGCCCACTTTGGGTGGGAAACCCTCCATAAACCTGGCCCACAGTGGGATCTGTGTTCATGTTGGCGGCTCACAGCTCAAGGTGGTTCCTTGTGAGTTAACGTGGTACCCCCGGCTCAAGGCAGGTATTCACGGTTCAAATGGGTGTTAGGACTCAAGGTGCGTGGTCATGGTTTGGGTGGGTGCTCGTAGCTCCAGATGGGTACCCATGACTCGGTGTGTAGGCTGCAGTGCCCCAGGGGGACATTTCCACACTGTCTTCTCTCCTGTGACCCCTGTTCCTCCTACCACGTGCTTGAGTGTGTCAGAGCCCCCTGTCTCCTCATAGGTGGGCTGTGCCTACCCGGGGCATAGCTTCTTGGAGGGCAGGCTGGAGGAAGGAAACTGAGTCTGAGAGGAGTTCCTATCCAGCCCCTTAGAACTCTATGGGGCCTGAGGCCCCCTACCCACCTGCCATGATGGTCTAGACCTCTTTGGATGAGACCTGCACTGGAGAACACTCAGCCCAATTCTTCTAGCCACAGAAGAATTCCTAGGGGAAGAAAGACTGCAACTTTCACTGCTGTATCTCAGCCCTCATGCCCTGCTGGCAAGCATGCCAAATGACACAGCCACTGTGAACAACAGTCTGGCAGGTCCTCAAAAAGCTAAGCGTAGAATTACTGTATGACCCAGAAATTCCTTTCTAGGTTCATACCCAAGAGAAATGACAACAGGGAGTCAAACAATCAGGTACAGAGCAGTCCCGTTTACAATGGACACAGGTGGAAACCACCCAAATGTCATCAAAGGATGGATATGCAAATTATGCTAAATGCCCAGTGGGTATCCATGAATCTTCATATGGGATGTTATTTAGCAATAAAGAACACTGGACTATTGATGCATGCTGCTGTCTGGACAATCCCCAAAAACGTTATGCTAAGTAAAGCAGTGAGACACGAAAGGTCACAGTGATGATTCCATTTATGTGAAACATGCAGAATAGGCAAAGCCATGGAGACAGATGGCAAAGTAGTGGTTACCAAGGGGTTGGGGGTAGTGGGACCTGGGGACTGACTGCATAATGAGCATTTATTTCCTTTTAGGGTGTGTATTTGTCTGCAGTGGCTGGTATAACAAATACCATGGATTGGTATTCCTCGATTTTCCCCTAGTTCTGGATGTTGGACATCCCAGAGCAAAGTACCAGCAGGGCTGGGTTCCGGTGAGGGCTCTCCCCTTGGGTTGCAGATGGCCACCTTGTCATAGTACATCCTGTGTGTGTGCTGGGCACTGAGACCAAGTTTTCTATTCCTTTTTATAAGGACATGAATCCTACCAGATTCAGGTCCCACAGTTAACTTTATATATCCTTGACAGCAGCTCAGGCTGAGGAGGTAACCTCATTTTCACCTGAATTACTGCCTTAAAAGCCCCAACCCAAATAAATGCACTGGGGACTAGGGCTTCAGCATCTGAATTTGGCAGGGGTGAATGACACAGACTCTTATTCTAGGATGGAGTGATGGAAATGTTTTGAACTAGACGGGAGCGTTGCCCAAGTGTGGATATCCTAAACACTACTGGATCAGTCACATTAACTTGGTTAATTTTATGTTCCATGAATTTCACTGCAATGAAAATAATAGTGAAGATTCTCAGAGGTTAGAGTTGAGAGGATCCCCAGGGGACCTCTCTCTATTCACGCCTTCCTCCCATGCACCCCCTGTGTTTTTAATTCCTCCTAGGAGGAAAAGTGGTCCCTGAGAAGGAAAACATCTCTGTCGAGGGATGGCTGTGGTTGTCAGAGCTGTGATGTTAGGAAAATCCAAATCTGCTTTCATGGCCTGAAATCCCTCATGGGACAGCGATTCCACCATACAAACGTGGCTTTGATTAAGGCCTCCACATGGGCTGACTGCGCAGCCAAACCTCCTCCTCCTCCTCCTCCTCCTCCGAATGGCTTTCACCAACCAAGTCAGCTGCATACCACCAGGTGGCCCAGACGGGCCAGTGTCTCTTCTGGACATAAGTGGGGTTAGTTCTTGGTCCCTTCTGTTCCCCATGGTGGTCTTACATTCGCTGGAGCGGGGAGGGGCACATGGAAAGTAGCCCCCCTGCCTGGAAAGAGGCTTTCCTGAGGATCCCTTTGCCCTGCAAACACTGTGCCGCTCTGGAGTCTTACAGCTTCCACCTCCTCAGGCTGGGCTGCTGCCAAGGACACTGTGTCCTGCCAACACACAAGCATATGCTCCTCAGCCGAGCAGCCCAGCTCCACACGCCAGGCCCACACCACCATGCTGAGCACACATGCACAGAGACAGACAGACACGCTCACGCACACACACTAGCCACTCACCTGTCCTGGTGCACAACCCATCCATCGCACATACAGTGACCCCCACACACACACTCCTGCCAGCCAGCGCTTAGCTGTCACACGCGCACCCTGTCCACACAGTGCGCAACGATGATATTTTGCATTTGTACACTGCTTGGACCTTATAACCCAGCCCACCTTGACAAGTTGCACAGTGCAGTGCTGGAGCTCAGCAATCCGGGCGAGTCTAGGAAGATGCCGATGGGAGGGACTTGACTGGAGCTGGGTTTGTAACTCAAGTGCTGGGTCGGCATTACGTTTCACAGAACATGTGGGTGCTGGCAAACACACAGAATTAGATTATTTCTGCCTTTGATGTTCCTCTCCTATGTGGAAAGGAAATGGGATTGTGGTCTTTCCTGGTTAGCAATTTTGATGGTAATATGCATTTTGATTTTATGAGCCTCAACCTCTATGTTGGTATAGAATTATTTTTTTTTATTATAGACACTATAAAATGCTATCTTCAAATGAGAGAATATATATATATATATATATATATATATATTGGTCGTAGGGATCAAAGTCAGGGCCTTTGCAACGGTGCTACATCCCAGCCCTTTTTAATTTTATTTATTTATTTTGAGACAGAGTCACTGAGTCACTGAGTTGCCCAGGCTGGGCTTGAACTTGTGATCCTCCTTCCTCAGCCTCCCAGAGTACTGGGTTCATAGTTGTGCACCACCAGACCTGGCTAAATGAGAGAATTTCTAAATGAGATTTTCTTCTAAAATTTTCTATAATTATTTTATTTTTGATTAACATACTGATTCCATGTATTAGCAGAGCTTAATGGCTATTTCTACACATTTTGAAGTGGCTGGGGGAGAGGGCTTAGAATCGTGGAGAGGGGGAGGTGTCTGAGGACTGCCTTGGCTCAGACAAGCCCACCTGTGAGTCTGGAATGATGTCCTCCCGCTAGGGATTCCAGCCTGGAGGTAAAGCCAAGGACACTAGCCCTGGTGGAAGTTGTGCTTTTTCTTGTCCTACCAATCCCGAGCTGATATTGTCAGGCAACCGTGCACGTCCCTGGGTGGTTATTCGCCGTGTGCTCTGCTATAGTGGATTTCCCTCTCTGTAGAAGAAACTGTTTTGCCCTCCAAGGGCCTTTGTTCGGCCTCTTCAACTCTTACTCAGTCTTCCCACAGCTGCTGTGTGTTGCTCACCTTCAGGGGTAAAAACCCCCGCCTCCCTTTAATCACGTTCCCGCTCATTCTGGGACAGCTTCTGTAAGCCATGTCTGGTGTGGGATTCCACTTTAGAGATGGACTCCGCCTTGAGATCCTTTGTGTGTATGGCATGAGGCAAGGGCCAGGGTTCCTCCCTGCCATCCAGATGTACAGCTGTCTCTGTTCGAAAGTCTGTCCAAGGGCCAAAGTGTAGTTCAGTGCCAGAGCACTCACCTAGCATGTGCTGGACCCTGCGTTCCATCCCTAGCACTGAAAAACAGAACGAAAAACATTCCCCTTTGAGATACCTTGGGGGGACTTTGCTGGATGTCAGCCGACAGTATCTGTGTCATTCTGTGTCTCGGTCCATAAGAGAATTCCACAGTCTGGGAAATTTATAAAGAAAAGAAATTTCCTTCTTTTTATTTTAACGAGAAAAAAAAACTAACAAAACAACACAAAAACAACAAAAATGATACATGACCTCAAAACAAAATGATAGGAATTTATAATGGTTGCTACATTACATACTGTTTTTTTTTTTTTAATTTTATTTTTTGTTTTGCTTTTGTTGTTTTCTGGTACCAGGAATTGAACTCACGACCTCGCGCTTGCCAGGCAGGCTCTGTGCCACTGAGCTAAATCCCCAGCCCCTATACTGTTATTTTCAATGAAGTTACTCAGTCCACCGGACATAAGAATGTAAAATTGATCAAAGACAGTAACAAGTAATAAAAAAAAAACTGGAAATGATGCAGAGGTTCACCATACAAGATGGTAGGAATTCACCAATGGTTCTTATACTGCATATTGTTGTCTTTAGATCAGTCTTTCTGATTACCAGATATAAGCATGCAAAATTGATCAAGAAAACAAAATTTTAAGCATTAACTATTTCTTTCAATAAACCACAGACATCAGCAATACACCTATCCCAGTTCTCCTTATATATAGATGTAAATTTTGTTTTGCATTTTAAAGAGAAAAGAAAAAAAACCAAAATAACAAAAAACAAATACATAAACAAAACAGCATAGAAAACAATAAAAATGAAAAAGAAAGAAAGAGAAAAATATGTATATGTATACACAGGACAGCTAGGATAATTGTACTACTAATATCTGTTGGTTTATTGAAAGGAACTGTTAATGTGTAATTGTTGGACCAATCTTGCATTCCTATATCTGGTTATCTGTGCAACCATTTTGAAGATAACATTATGTAATATAATAACCATTGATAATATGCTATCACCTTGTTTTGAAGAAAAGAAATTTACAGTTCTGGTCACTGGCAGGCAGGTCCATGTTCGGGGGCTGGCTTGTGGTGAAGGCCTTCTTACTGTGTCGTGAGTAACAGAGGCCATCACACTTCGAGAGAGCCAGCCCGTGGCCCTTTCATTGTGAGCATCTGTCCCTTCTTGAGGACAGAGACCTCTTGGCCTAGTTGTGTCTCAAAGGTCCCGTGTCTTACTGCTGTTTTATTGAGCATTACATTTGTAACGTGGGTGTTTTGGGGACACAGTCAAACCATCACTTTGTGTTCTGTTCCACTGATCTGTGTAACTGCATAGCTGCTTCCATCTTTCCCCACCTGGGCCTTCTCCCCACCTGCAGAGTCAGGTGGGCGCGCAGGCCACCCAGAAGGGCTGCACAGTTTGGAACCAGCTTCCAGGAGCTCAGCCCCTTCAGGCTAAGGCAAATGTCAACAGCTTGAGTTGCCCTAGACTGACTCCCAGTCTTCACTGGTAACTGCCCAGGAGGCTTTCTTTGCTGCCCGACTCCTGGATAAAAATCCACGGGTTGTTTCCAATAAACACCCACCATGGCCTAAGCCAGCAGCCCCGCCAGGCGGGCCTGGACTGCGATCAGAGCGATCGTTCTGCTTTGTTGGGTAATTCTTAGCTGCTGGCTGGCTGCTGGGCTTGGAACCCAGAAGCATCACAGTAAGCTCTTTTAATCAGCTTTTGCCACTCAAGTTTAATGAATTCTCTGGGGGAAGTGGCTTTCTGATGAAATTAAGTCAACTGAACTTTCAGCCTGGGTTTACTGCTTGGTTGAAGGGGTCGGGAATAAGGAGGCAAGGGTGTCACTTGAAGCAGTCACTGAGGTTGAAGAGCTCCAGATAATAGAGACTGCAGTGTACGGGGCTTCCCTTAGAACACCCTGGGACTACAGGGAGCTTCTTCTGTCTGAAGCCTCTCCTTGGAGTGGAGAGGTGCTTTAGCCTAGAGGACCTGGTCATTCTCTTGTAAACTGTGAGCAGTGCTAGGTGTATAACCTGGAAGCCATTCTTGACAGGAATCACACTCTTGAGGGTGGGGGTGGGGCGTCTCCTTGCATGGCTGCATCTATGATGTCCTAGGGCCAGGTCCATCGGTGCCTCTCCCGGAAGCCACAGTGCTGGAGATTTCCTTGTAAGCAAGGTTTCCAGGTGCTTCCTGTTTGAGAAGGGCTTCTCCCTGAAAATGAACTTACTTTCAATTGTTGAATGCTCAGCACTTCCAGCAGACATCGGTACCCCTCATCAGCAGACCAGGGAGTGGTGATGGAAGGCGCCAGGGACAGTCATAGCCAGGGAGCAAGGCCCTTGCCGCAGCCTAGGGCCAGCCTTTCCCTCAGTGTGTGTGAGCCTCTGGGTTCTGAGAGTTTCCCCAGCTGCTCACCCGTCTGCCATAGTTTGTTCTCCTAGTGAACAGATCTAGGGCTAGCTCACTTCAGCTCGGGTGGCTCAGTCCAGCTCTGTGCATGCTTTGTATGTGACCTCTGCCTCATTCAAGTTCGAAGCCATAGGTGATCTATACCAGCTCAAGACATGGAATTGAGACCCACCCTCCCGCCTTAGGAAGGGCTGCAGCTTTGGATCTGAGGTTGGCACGGCTCTCCCTGGATCCCCTGGTTGAGAGTCTCCTTTCTGTTGCAGCTCCCTGGGAGAAGCATGGGCCCAGGTGAAGAAGAGCCTTGCAGATGAAGCTGAAGTTCACCTCAAGTTCTCTGCCAAGGTAAGCCCTCCCTGCGGGTCGGGTCGCACACAGGATGTGCTGATACATGGCGTGCAAGGTCTCTCTGGTTTGGGGTGTCGGTCAATTTCCATGCATGGAAAACTTCGTTCTCAAATTCGTATGTCATCAGTGGTGTTTGGAGGTGGGACTTCAGTTTGTCATGGATGAGATGGAGTCTGGAGGGTAGGACCCCTATGATGAGACAGGCGGCTTCGTACGAAGAGACCTGAGCTGACACACGCTCGTTCTTCTCACCACTTCCACCACCTCCGGAGATAGCAGGGGCCCTCACCAGATGCTGACCTCTGGATCTGGGCCTTCCCAGGTTCCAGAGCTGTGATCTGCATAAGCCTATATTCTTTACAAATAATTCTTTCCTGCTATGGAGAAAGGTGGATGACCTACACGGTGAGAGCTTTGTACAGAGCTGGAGTGGGAGGAAGAACACTGCTATTACCAGCTCCTCCTTCTAAAGGACGTAGTCCCCAAGACTGTGTGGACACCCAGATGTGAGAATTTGCAGCTCACTACAGCACACTCACCTCAGTATTCCTAGTCCTTCCTGAGCAGAGAAGGGAGCTGCATGACTGGTGTCCTTCCTGTGCTCCTTACAAAGCAGCAGGTTGTATTTAAGCTGCAGCTCACAGGCAGTGTCCCCCTAAGGTCTCCCTCTGTCCTAGCCCTGGGCAGTGCTCTTCTCTGCAGTGGCTCAGGTCTCCAGTGACTGAGGAGATGAGTGCAAGGCTGCCTAGTTAGGGAACCAGATCTGTGAGCTGCTGGAGGGCTTGCCTGCTGGGTTCCTGGGAATCTGGGTGGCATTTACACCCCAGTAGGACCCCTAATTCTGACTGTTGAGACTGTTCAGCAGGTACTTGCTATGGTGACTAAGTGTACAGGATGTAATTCATCACTTGGTTTTATCAACCACCATGCATGACAGCAACTCCGTTTCACAAATGTCAAAGGAGGGAGATTGAAGCACAGCCCCTGGCCATATGATATGTGGATTCAGCTGTGGAGGAAGCAGAGGAAAGAGTAAGCAAATGGCAGACTTGATCCCTAGACCTTTGCTTCTGGCGTCACCCCCTCTTCAGCAGACCAGTAGCATCTAAAACACTGGACCTGAGACCAGGGATGCTGCTCAGTGTCAGAGTGCTTGCCTAGCATGCAAGCCTGGGTTCCATCCCCTTCATCATGAACACACAAAACCACAGAACCCTGCTCCTGAGGCACACTCTGCCCTCCCAGGGAGTGCCTACAGCAGGGGACAGGCTGCCCTGGGCATGCTCCCTGTGTTCAGGAGGCAGTACAGACATGGCTGGGTAGCCGTCTGACGGCTTGGGAAGAATGCTTGCACAAAAGCAAAAACAGGCTTTGCCACAGGAGCCTCTGTGCCATTAGGGCTGCAGTCCAGTAGCCTCATGGCAATTCCTTGAGAAGAAAGCTGCTCCAAGGATTTATGGATAATAAGGCCCCCTAGGCACAAAACCCATTTTTATACCTGCTCCAAAAGGCTTATTGAAATTCCATTCTTCATGCTCAGTGTCAGGGATAAAAAAAAAAAAAAAGCTCTTTAGAAATGCATTTTTTAAATGATAATCTTCCAGCTTTTCTAATCCACCAGCATAAGGCATTGCTCATAGCAACAGGTTGCTAAAGAAATGAGATTGCTGTATTCAATGGAAGTTATACCTGACTCAAGCAGAAAAAGGGGAAATAGAAAAATTCCTTCTGATGGGAGAAAATCTAACTGTGCATTAGAGCTGTGCATTGGATCAGAAGATTCTGGGCCATGGAGGAGGTGGGCCATGAGTTTTAGCTCGGTCCTGTGCTAACAAGCTTTTTGGTCTTGGGCAAGCCACACAGCCCCATGTGGCTCCATTTCTTCATGTGTGAAAGGAAGAGTTTGGACAGATCGGTGGCTTTAAACTTGACTGTCACCCACAGGAATGCATTTCACATGGTCACCCAGAACACACACACCCACACACATGTACTCACTCCACGCCTACTCACAGAGACTCACACATGTATGCACCCAGACAAATGTTGTGACACAATGCTTATCTTTCTAAAATGCACTGTGGTATTTTCTTTCCAAGTCTGGTCCATTCTCACCAAAAGCTGGCCCTGACCCACCAAATTGATTTCGCAATTTCCAACCACCCGCCATGTGAAAACCCTGTCGTCTGACTAGACAGTCTTTAAAGTTGCATCCAACTTGGAATTTATTTTACTCTTTTCTGGTGTGTGATGCGGAAATCGAAGACGGGAAAAGGGCCAGGCTTGGCAGAGGAAACAGATCTGCCCCAGCGGCTGGGCTGTGCAGTGCAGGTCGGACTGGTCCCCACGTCCACGAAAACACACCTCCAGGACTCCTGATTCCCTCATTAGACAAAGATGCTGACAAGTTAGGGATGAGTATTAAAACACACTAAGCCAACTTAACTTTTCTTTTTTTTTTTTAAATTAACTGTTTTAAAGAAAAAAAAATCATGTCTTTAAAAAGTAATGTACATATAGAGAGGTGGCCTTTATCCTGGCAAACTGAATCACTTCCGCTGTCTAATAGCACAGTTTTTCCAGAATGTCGTTTGGAATCAGGGGAAACCTGTCGGTGTACTGGCGGATTTCTGGGCCTCTCCCAGACAACAGAATGTGAGGTACCCAGGAATTCTCCATGGTGAGATGCTGGCCTTCACACACAGAGTCCTGGATGTGTTTGTTTTCCAGCCCCTTAGAAATAGACACCAGAGTTTCTGAATCAGCAGGATGAATTAACCCTCACAGACCCCAGTGAGGAGCTGGTTCCCATGGCAGCTAAACTATGCAGCTCCTCCTACCCAGCAAATGGCTGATCTGATTTTTTGTTTGTTTGTTTGTTTTTTGTTTTTTGTTTTTCTCCGGTACCGGGAACCGAACTCACGACCTTGCGCTTGCCAGGCAGGCGCTTTTGCCGCTGAGCTAAATCCCCAGCCCCAAAATGGCTGATCTGAAACATGGGTGTCTTAGTCTTTTGCCTTTGGCTATAGCTAAATATCAGAGACTGAGTGCTTTGTAAAGAATAGAAGTTTAGGTGGATCACAGCTCTGGATCCTGGGAAGGCCCCGATCTAGAGGTCAGCGTCAGTGAGGGCCCCTGCTGTCTCGAGAGTGGTGGGAGGCATCAAATCATGAGGTGAGAAGAGTGAGTGTGTGTCAGCTCAGGTCTCTTATGAAGCCACCCAGTTCATCATAGGGGTCCCATCCTCCTGACTCCATCTAATCCATCACAAACCAAAGTCCCACCTCCAAGTACCACCAACGACATATGAATTTGAGAACCAAGTTTTCCATGCATGGACATTTAGGGAACACATTCAAGCCCTACTAATGGGAAAGCAATTTCTGCTTATAAGCGCTCAAGTAGTATCTTACGAACTGCCACCAGATGGGGATGTTTTCCTACATAAGGACAGTTCCAGGGGTTTTAAATAAAATAGCAGGAGACATTCACACCCAGTATCAAGAGGTGTGGGGCATCTGGATGAGCAGTTCTCTGTTAGTCTGTGAAGGTGTTTCAACAACAAAACTGCCCTCTTGTCACCCAGGGAATTGGGAACGAAAGTGTTTGTCATTCTCTCTACAAGCAGTAAAGGGGCACCTGTCCTGCCCAGCTCGGGTTGGACACTAAAGTCAGTTGTGGTCAAGCCAGATGTGGCCCTGACCACATGGTGCTGCCGTGTCTAAGGCGGTTGCTCCGAATAAGAATCCCTAAGCTCCTGTGGGGTCCAGAGGAAAGACAGTGTTTCAGGAGCCTGCGGAGGAGGAGAGGAGGGAATTCACAGTCTCCGAGCCCAGATGGCTTCTTTCCAGGGAAACTGAGCCGTGCTCCTGCAGACACCGCCCGGAGAGGTGGAGTCTGAGCCGGGGAGCCTCCAGCAGCTCCTGCCGTGAATTTACCGAGGCGCAGACAGTGTCCATATCATTTTTATATTCCAGGCACCTGGACACAGCAGATGATCAATAAATAGGGACAATCAGAGATCAACTCATTAAATGGCATCCTGCCCACAGTTACTTACTGAGCTGCATGCACCGGGCACTATGATACGTGCTTGGGGACACAGATAGGTGACGTGGCTTCTGTTCCAGAGAGCTCTCAGGTTGGAAAGTAAGACAGGGAAAGCCCAGCAAAGCTGTGCGAGAGGCTGTGCGACGTGAGTAGACGTGGAGATGGCGCATTTGCTACTTAGCCAGATTTCACCATCGCACCACGTGTACTGTGCCAACAGCGAGGGGCTGCACGACGACATTCCCGGCAGTGGCCGGACACATGCGGGGCGGTCCCACAGGTTTGTATTGTCCAGTGACCTCATGTCCATTTTAGTCTAAGTACACTCTGTGATGTTCAAATGATGGCAAAATCTCCTAACAGCGTCTCCCAGAACATCCCTTTCACTAAGTGATGCATGACCATATTTCAAAACATTGTGAAGTACGCCATAAATATACACACAAAAAAATTTTTACATAAAGAATTTTAAGAGAAGCAGCTGCAGAAGCTTAGAGGAGGAAGGAGTTACTGATGGGGGATCACAGTGCTGCTGACTGTAACCCTTCACCCCATACCTGTGAAGGCTGGTGGGGAACCGAGACCGGATAACCGGTCACTTGTCTGCAGTCTTCCTGTCCAGCCAGGCCACGGCCCATCTTCTCCCTCCCTGACGCCCGGGCACCTGAATGTGTCCGCTCTGCCCTCCTCCACAGCTCCACAGCGAGGTAGAGAAGCCCCTGATGAACTTCCGAGAGAACTTCAAGAAAGACATGAAGAAGTGTGACCACCACATCGCTGACCTCCGCAAGCAGCTTGCCAGCCGCTATGCCTCGGTGGAGAAGGTGAGAGGCCAGGACTGTGCGGGTGGGGGCGGGGTGGGCAGCTGCCGCCGGAAGAGGGTGTGCTCTGTTACTGTGGAGAGGGTTTGTTCTTGTGTGGTGGAATGAGGGAGGGGAGTCCATGTCTCTAACCCCTGTCTGAGAACTACCACCCCTCCAAAGGGCAGGTAGGAGCCTCTTTCCATGGCCAGAGAGCTAGTGGAAGCAAGGAGAGAATGCAGGTGCAGCAGCACCTGTTGTGAGCACCTGAGATCAGCAGCCCGTATCTCTGTGGCCCTGGAGCCTGATGTGCTGCCAGTTCACAGCTGACCCCTGTGCCTGGGCCTCACCTACAGTTTCTCTGCCAACTAAGCCACCACCTCCCATGTGCCCAGCACTTACCTCCCTGCAAGCAACCAGAACTGGGAAGGATGCTGGTGGTCAGCTTGGTGAGGAAAAATGCTCTGTCCAGGAGCTGACCCCAGTGCCCCAGAGAGCAGAAGGAGCCATCTAAGACCCAGCCAGAGGCCTCCACCAAAGTCCACAGAGGAGCTGGCAGAGGTGGCTGGTGGGGCGTGAGCCCATGAGGGCCCAGCAGGAGGACGGAGGGCACTTCCCGGGAGGCTGAGGGCTGAGGCTGTGAAATGGGGTAGCGGGTGCTGCCGGCCAGCTACCCACTGCTGCGAGGTGACTTGGATGACTTCAGTGGTTTCTTCAATCCTGAGAGGCAGTGATTTTAGGACCTGCTCTGTCCCTAGTTTGGGCCCATGCTCCAATGAAAACATGGCCTGAGGGATTGATTTAGGCCACATCCATGCAGGAAGGGACAGGGAGCAGCCTCCGTTCCCTCACAAACAAGCTGGGTGGCCCTCGGACCCGGACCCTGGTGCCGTCGTCCACAGCAACAAGGATGAAGGACTCCTCTCAAGGCAAGGGAGGCCAGGCCACCCGGCCCCGAGGTCCCCCTGCCCTCAGCTTTCTGTTGTCGGCCCACAGGCCCGGAAAGCCCTCACTGAGAGGCAGAGAGACCTGGAGATGAAAACCCAGCAGCTGGAGATCAAGCTGAGCAACAAGACAGAAGAGGACATCAAGAAGGCGCGGAGGAAGTCCACACAGGCTGGTGAGCGCCAGGCCGCCCGAGCTCATCACGTAGGCGCTGAAGGGGCTGGAGTGGGTGACCGGAGGCCGTGACCTGGGGGTGCCGCGCTGCTTTGCAGGCTGGCGACAGCACGGTTCACCCAGCGTCTCCCACCAGGTCCAGTCTCTTTGCCTTTCTGCCCCATGTCCAGGGGTCTCAAAGGAAGAAACTTCAGGGGTGGAAGAAAAGCAGACATGCTGGGCTGGGTGACCCATGCTGTGCCCAGCGATGGCCTGTTCTAGCCATCTCTGACCAGGAAGTAGACAAATTCCCCCATGCTCCAAGAGCGCAGGGCCTTATCCCTGCTCGGAACCCACAGAACTGAGAATCCCACCCAGCCACCCATGCTGGCCCCCCTCCCCCACCTCCCCACCCCCATCCCACCCCCGGGTCCGGAGGAGGTCCTGCCCCAAGAACAGCAGCTAACAACTTGTTACAGAACCAAGCTTCAGACTGACCCACTTTCCCTCCGCGGGTTGGTTTCTGCTGCCCTCTACTGGTAAAAATTAGCTAATATACAAGGAGGAGAAGGAAAGAGTTAAAACCAATGAAAAACTCAGCAGCTATTTATAGATGAAACTACGTTTTATGATACACAAGGACAATGCATATTGCTTCTAGAATTAAAATATGTGCTGTGAAGTTAGGGTTCAGACGGCCTTTAGCTTCTTTTCATCTCAACTCCTAGTCAGCTTGTTGCGATTTCATTATAGAATGAAGCAGTCTTCTTAGACATTTTGGAATAAAGTGGGACCAAAGGAAATCAACAAAATTAATGTGGTATAGGAATACCATTTAAGCTGGGCGTGATGGCACATGCCTGTAATCCCAGCATTCAGGAGGCTGAGGCAGGAGGGTCACTGTGAGTTCAAGGCTAGACTGAACTACATAGTGAAACCCTGTCTCAAAAAGACTGAAAAAAAAAAAAAAAAAAACAACCATGTAATATGTGTGATAGTAAATTGCTGGAGCCCAAAGCTTTATTATAAATCCATAATAGATTTATTGAATTTGGGAAGGGGGACCCAGAGAGAGAAGAGCTGCATTTAAATAAGCTCAATTTATTAAATTTTAAAAAATTACATCTATTGCAAAACAAGTATTGGTACATGCTAAATAGTCAGCACACAAAAGTATAAAATGTTACTTGCCAGAAATAATCACCATCCATATTTCCTACTGTTTCTGTTTTTTTTTTAAATAATACTTGAGCTATGTAAATTAGATCATGTTACATTGTTCTGAGTTTACTATTAACTGTGATATGTTGGACTAATCCTACTGTATTCCCTCTACATCTGTTTATGCATCTCTTTGTGTATCTTTGACTTGTTAATGTTTGACCTGTTAGGTTTTGACACCAGGTAGAGCAAGAGATAGAGACAGATAAAACAAGCTTTTACTGCTGGCACGGGAGGGTTGCAGGAGATTGCAAGGACCCTCAGAGGAGGGAGCTGGGAACGGGTTTTTATTAGATTGAACTAGAGGTGGGGTTAATACAGGCAGGCGATGTGTCAGATCACGAGGGGATTGGGAGTTAGTTGGCGCATGCGCAAAAGGCAGCAGGAAGTTGATCTCGGGGTCTGCAGAACAAAGCAGAGTGTGCCCTGACCAGTACCATTTTGGGGATTCTGGATGTTTGTCATGACCAGTTTCCAATTGTATGATTGTGTCCAAATTTATTTCATCGTTTTCCTAGTTGAGTTTTGGAACTCTTAGATTGTTTCAGAGTGTTTGCCAGTGCTGGCAATGGTGTGTTAGCGTAACTGTGTATCTGTAGGACCAGGTTTGCAGACAGAGATGGTATAGGTGCTGGTCAAAAGGTTTCGTTCATTTTAATGCATACTTCTAAATTGTTTTCCAGACACGGTACCCACCAGTAGCATCTATGACACCCATTTCTTAGGTTTTTATCAGCATTGCCTGTTATCAAAATTTAAAGTCATTGGTGTGCTGGTAAACAAAACAAACCAAAAAAAAACCCCAATATTTTGCTTTTGGTTTGTTTTTCTCTGTAAGCAGAGTTGAGTGTCTTAAAAATATACTTATAAATCATATTTTTTTTCTTCTATCTGAATAATTCACCATATCTTTTCCCTTTTTCTTGTTCAGTGTTGTTCTTCTCATTGACTGATTGATAAGGATTCTTGGATTCTTTTTTTGTTTTTTTGAGCTAGGTAATTCAAGCTGGTCTTGAACTCACCTTGTAGCCCAGGCTGGCCTTGAACTCATGACAGTACTCTTGATTCAGCCTCCTAAGTGCTAGGATTACAGATGTGCACCACCATGCCCTGCTTGATAATAAGGACTCTACATGCTAGGGAAATTAATCCTTTGACATTTGAATTGCGGATATTTTATCCTTTACTTTTTCATTTCATTCATTGTAATTATGTTTTTGGTTGTTTGCCTGGCTTGTGTTACTTTTTTCTATATAGCAGTCTTTTCACTATTATGTCTGGGCTCTGATAGGAGTGACTTAGAAAGACTTTCCCTGTTCTGAGATTTTTTTAGAAAGTCAAACTTGTTTTTTTTTTTAATGTTTTTGTGCATGGAGGACAGGGTTCACGTGTTTATTTTTGTTTTAGTTTGGTTTTTAGCCATGAAATATGCAGCCCACCATACTTTCCTTTTTCTTTACCCTAGCGTCCTAATCATACCTGGTAGGTTCTTTTTTTTTTTTTTTTTTTTGGTACCAGGAATCGAACTCAGGACCTTGCGCTTGCCAGGGAGGTGCTTGTGCTCCTGAGCTATATCCCTGGCCCTACCTGACAGGTTCTGATTTGTAGTATTTTCATTCCTGCCATTTTCAAGGCATTTTGCTGTTTAGGTTTTGAGTTTGTCTTTGAGGTAAGAAGTGTCTCAAAGAAAATCTTTACATTTTCCTGAGCGAGGGATTTGTTACTATTCAGATTAAAGGGTCTCTTATTCCTCTCCCTTGAAATTATCTTGTGATAGAAGTGACAAGTCCTCAGACCTACTGTGAAATATATGACCTTGGGTTGGAGCTGTAGCTCAGCTGTGGAGCACTTGGTTCTGTCCCCACCACTGCAGAACAAACAAACAAAACTACCTTTCCTGAGCACTTACTGTATGCCAGGCCCAGGCTCTGGGGCTCCGAGCCTTGCCCCTTAATCCTCAGAGCACCTCAGCATGAAGAGGCATTTGCCAGGTCTGTTACAGATGAGGAAAGTGACAGGAGAGTGTGTCTTGACCAGTGCCATTTTGGGGATTCTGGATGTCTATCGTGACCAATGTCCAATTGTATGATTGTGTCCAAATTTATTTCATCATACCTGACAGGTTCTTTTTTTTTTTTTTTTTTTTTTTTTTTGGTACCAGGACTCAAACTCAGGACCTTGTGCTTGCCAGACAGGCACTTGTGCCCCTGAGCTATATCCCTGGCCCTACCTGACAGGTTCTGATTTGTAGTATTTTCATTCCTGGGATGAGGAGCTAACCCATTGCTCCCAGTTGTAGCATTCAAGGCCAGAATTCAGCTTTCTCTTATTCCAAAGGTTCTGCTTGTTGGTGTTTTTCTGGACAGCGTGGCTGCTTAGAAAATGCCACTGCTTCTTTCTCCCTGGTCCCTTACCTCCCTCTCCCTCATTTCTGTGAGGTTGCTGGAAAGGAGGGAATCAGGATCATTATGGCCTAACTGTAAACCATCAAAATTGTCATTGCCATTAACGTGGCTCATGTTAAATGTTTTGCTGTCTCTGCAATCTCCATCCCAAACACTGTACATATGCTAACCTGTTTAATCTTTACAATGACTCTATGAAAGTACAACCATTGTACCCAGTGTACAGATGAGAAAAGCAGAAACACAGCAGGCAGGTTAGTTTCCGTGTCCAAGGTCACACATGAAAGCCAGTGGAGCGAGCCTGACCACCCAGCTGTTCTAGTTCTCAGAGGGCACTGCTCAGAAGGGTCCAATTTCTAACCCTTGAGCTGCCTTCCAGAGCAAACACACTGTCCTCAGCCTGCTGCTTCCTGGTGCTGTGGAAGTTCCTGAAGCGCGTTCTCAGAAAGCAGGATCAGTGGATCAGGCTCTGGAGTTTCCTGTCTGTCCCCTCCCAGGTGACACACCGGCCTCAGCCCCGGGCAGGCGTGAGCTCTCGGTGGACGCGCATTGGCAGAGAAACCCCCCTCCTTCCTCCATCAGTGCCTCTTGAGGTCAAAGGTCAGCCGGCGGCCTTGAACCATGAACAAAATGCACAAAACGCTCGATTTTGGCTGTGTTCCTCAGGACTCAGCCCTTGTGTGCAGCGTCCTGTCCCCTCCATGTGGCAGAGGTCGTGGTGTGGCCATGGGTGGAGAGCGGACATAGAGTGAGGCCTTGGGGAGTGTGGGCACCGCTCACTTCCCCAGCAGAAGATGCCCAAGCCAAGCAATGTCACAGGAGGAACTTTGTGTCTACTGGAATTGCTAGGTTCTACTTCAGAGTCCAGCTTCTCAAGTTCCTCCAGTCTCCTCCAGAGTTAAGACAATAGCTTGGGCCTGGCTTGTGCACTTGTCTGATCCTGAGCTAGGAGCAGGATGCCTTTTTCTCTGGGCAGCCCCGTCAGGACGATGCTCTGAAAGCTACACTTAGGTGCAGCTGTGTAGAGGAACAGTTGCTCCTCCAACCATAAGTGCGCAGGCGTCACCAGAAGAGCTAGTGACAGCACAGCTTCTGATTCAGCAGCCCTGGGGCAGACTCTGGCTTCTGCATTTTCCACCAGTTCCCAGAGCTGCCGACACTGCAGGTCCACACACTGGGTTTGTGCAGCAAGTGTCCAAGGTGTGGATACACTCAGTGATGTTTGCAGTTACTTCATTGGTTGTTCTGGTTCTAACTCCAAAGGGTTTCAAACGTTCACGTAGATTACCGAGAGTGAGAGTAGCCATCCGGAGTTAATGGTCACATTTGCACAGATCGCTTGTTACAGAATGAAACACAATAGAAGGAGCTGATCCCACCCCACACTCACGCTTCCTCTTTCCCAAGGTGGCCACTCTTCTGAGGTTGCTGTGTATGTAGCACTCGAGTGTAGGTTTTTGTTCAGTGAATGAGCTTTTTGCACAGTGCATGAGCCATAACCACCGGGCACATTGTACTGTGATTCGGAAGGAGATGCTGTTACATGCGCGTGCACACACACACGCACACATGTTCATATGCACAGACACGTGCACAGACATGACTTGCAAACATCTTTCCTTTAGTACTGGGTTGCTTGTGGCATGTTTTAATGACCCGGGATGCCCCAGTGTAAATGCAGGCTGCCGTCTTTAGAGGGAAGCATTTCTTATCCTTAGACCTGTGCCAGGGCCTGGGCTTGGGTTCCTTCCTGGGCACATACACACTCTTCATGAGACACCCCATCCTGAACGCTTGGTTCAGATAGATGGGCTAAAACTAGTTGCCCGAGGCGCTGGGTCGCCCCTCCCTTCCTTTGCTGTGCTGCTCTCCTCCTCCCCCTCATCCCCTAACCTCCCAGAGGCTGTGGTAACCTTAGGGAAGGAGCAGGCAGGCCACCTTGCAGGTGCGGAAGGGAGCCCCGGAAGGAAAGACCAGAGCAGCTATCACATGTCGCGGGCCGTTGGTTTTTCCAGGAGATGATCTCATGCGCTGTGTGGACCTCTACAACCAGGCCCAGTCCAAGTGGTTTGAAGAGATGGTGACCACCACGTTGGTATGTGGCCAGAAGCGCATGAACATGCAGTACCGAGGGAGCCCTGGTGGGGGTGGTGGGCACCGAGGGATGGAGAGGAGGTGACCAGACAGGTGGTCGTTAGATCTGTTCCAGGGTTAGAGTCAAGACCTTAGTCTGGGTCTGTCTGTGCATTCAGTGCCCCCTGTCGTATGAACCTGGGCAAGGGCCAGGTCCCACTGCGTCCAGCTTGGGCTCTCCACTGAGGGTCAGAACCGACCAGACCATGCCCTGAGCAGACCCTCAAGATAAACGGCCAAGTAGTAGAAAGAGTGACCACCACGCACGCACACGGGAAAGTGGCAGGTCCTGACGAGGGGTCCTCCCCACACACATGCGCAAGTGAGGCTGGAGGAGCTGTGTAGGGAAAGGGGGAGGAGTCTGACCAGAGCATCAGACCCCATGATGCTCGACTGAGAATTTCTTTGAAAGGGGCAGCATCTCCTCATGGGCCAGGACCTCTCTGGGTGGGAGAGTGAAGCGTGGCTGGTATTCATGCCAGATGGAGAGGGGGCAGTGTTGCTCATCCTGCCGTCCCACTGCCCAAAGCTACCCCTTGTCCATCCAGCACAGGACCAGGCGGCTGCCTTCCCCAGGTGTCAGCCCACCAGGGCAGATTAGAGGCCTCCGCCGGGGCCAATGACCCGGTTTTCCTCCCTAATCCCCTAATTAAGCCCCCTGCTTTGCCCCCCCAGTTAATCACCTGGACAGTGACCTAGTTATGTGCAGAATAACAGTATAATCCCCTAAATTCCAATGACAAGGAACTATCTAGAAACCTCAGACAAGCCCTGTCCATGCGTCCCTTTGATAACCGACGACTCCCTGCCTGCTCTGCCTGCCCCCACCTGGTCTCTGCTCTGTCCCTCGGCACGAGGTGGGCAGAGGAGGGAGATTGCTCAGCAGAGGCTCAAAGACAGGCTCCGGAGTTTGAGAGGCCCAGTGCCCCACCCCATTGCGGGGCTAGGGCTGAGGCTGTGCTGGGGTGGAGTCATGATTAAGAATGTAATAGGCCCTGCTTTAAGTCCTGCTCCTTAATTCTGCGTCCCCTTGGGCAGGTGACATTCCCGCTTAGTTCCTGGACTTGGAACATGGGGATAATCACAAAACTCCTTTCTTAAAATTATAGTAAGGACGGTTAGGTAACACCATGCCTGACAGAGGAAGCTTTCATGAAATAAAAGAGTAGCTGCTCTCATAACCTCACCTTCACCCCAGAGATAGTTACGGTCCTCATTACAGCCCAGAGGGTCAGAAAGGGGTGACGTGATCAGCTGGGGACTTGTGTTCTGGGTGCGTGGTGGGCTGGCACCCGCTGAGTGGGAAGGTTCCCGAGTTGGGTGTGCTCAGAGGTCGCTGGTCCTTCCTTCCTCGCAGGAGCTGGAGCGGCTAGAGGTGGAAAGGGTGGAGATGATCCGGCAACATCTGTGCCAGTACACACAACTGCGGCACGAGACGGACATGTTCAACCAAAGCGTGAGTCCCCACCCTCGGGCCGAGGCCGGCAGGACCACGAGGGACAAGGGGCCAGGCACTATGCCGTGGCAGTTTAAGTGGCTTCCACAAATGAGTCTGTCCTACCTTGGGCAGTGGGCAGGTGTGTCCGCTTGCGAGTGACCTCTGGGGATGGACTTGTCAGGGCCGCTCTGGGTGAGTGCATAGACCCTGCCCAGCACGTGGGACAGACACACCCTTGAACTGCTGCTCGAGGAGAAGGAAGCCCACTATAGTTAAAGTAGCTGAAGACATTACTGTTTCTCTTGATGAGTTTCTCAAAAAAAAAAAAAAAAAAAAAAAAAATGCAACTTCTCAAATATTCACAGTACTGGAAGGCAAAGTCCACTTGTCCTGTTTCCTACTGGTCAGGGTTGAGACACATGGAGGGGAGGTCACAGGCCACAGCCTTTGGAGTATTCTGCCCGTCATCCAGGCTGGGGTGCAGGGCGAGAAGCAGGCATGACCTGCTCTGGGCTCTGGCTCCCACAGCCCTCTCTCCTTCTGTCCTTCCGAGGAGCCCCTCCCGTGGGCCCTTCTGCAGAGGCTGCTCTGACCAGCACTTGGGCAGGAGCGGCCTGGCACAGAGGAAGCAGCCCCAGCCCAGCTGCCACCTTGTGACAGTGTCTCCCCTTCTTTGTCCCTTGCAGACAGTGGAGCCTGTGGACCAACTGCTTCGAAAAGTGGACCCGGCCAAAGACAGGGAGCTGTGGGTCAGAGAGCACAAAACAGGCAACATTCGCCCTGTGGACATGGAGATCTAGACTCGCCTGGGCGGCCCCTGGGGTCCTGCGCAGGAGAGGAACTGGGGTCCCACAGAGGGGCGGCCTCGCTGGGTGGAGCTGCCCTCCCACCCACTCTTTTGGTCCACTGAGGAGAGGGAGGGAAAAGCTGGTGATTCCAGAGGGCGACTTGAACAGCCCAGCTGGGCTTTGCCCAGCATTCCCTGACCAAGACAACCTTGGACACAACCCTGCCCTTGTCTCTGAGACCCCCAACTCCCATGCTGTGCTTGTGGCTCTGAGAACAAACTGAGGCTGGAACTTTGTGGTCCCTGCTGACCTCCACGGGGTGACTGTCACACACTTCTGTTCCCAGATGCCCCGCGGGCCGTCCTCCAGCGTCCCCCTTGTCTGCAGGGCTGTGGAAGATCGGGAGGGATGTGTCTGTGTCCAAGCCAGGGTCAGGGTCAGCATTGTGGATAGAAGGTGCCATTTGGCTCACAGCCCTCACCCGAAACTGTGTGCAGCCCTCCCTCTCTATTTTCTACTGTTGCATCTGGGGAGCCCGCATCTGAATTTCTTGACCGCTTCTCATCCCCAGCGGGCTTGGGAAGAAGGCTTGGCTCCTCTCTTCCCAGACCTACCCTGCCTGAACAGGTCAGGATGGAACTACCTCATTTGGCAAATTAGCCCCTAGTTGGAGCATTAAATCATGGCTCCTATCAGATCAGGCATTATCTGTAAAATCTCCCCAGAAGACCCCAATCCACTTCTCCCTCTCCTGCCTTCGGAAGAAAACCTCTGCCCCATCCCGATACCCCATCCCAGTCTCAGCAGAGGAAGTTTTCCAGAGTTCTCAGCCAGCAACATCTCGTCCAGCTGTGTGCTTGTCCACGGAAGCAAGCCAGCTCATCTCAGAAACCAGCCAGCCACAGGAGACCGCAGGGTCTGTCTGCCCACTGCCCTCTTCATCACTGACCGCCCTGGCCTCTGCTCCCCGAGGCTGCCCACCATGGCTTTGTGGGGATGGGCAGTCCCACATGGGAGACAGGTCAGGCTGAGTCCAGGCCATCTCTAGACAGCTCGGTCTGCTCATGCACAGTGGGGTTGGGAATGCTAGCTCTTGTTCAGGCACTGGACAGGCACTGCAAACTGTCACACGGCTGCAGTAAGTCATTAACATGCAAGCAGCATCACAGCGCCGAGCCTCACTGTGTACCAGCACCTCCCTCCGCTCTGCCCAGCTTCCCTGGAGAAGCCCGGGCAAGTGAGACCTAGGAAGCTTTCGGCACTGCCCCTGGGTCCAGCTCATCTCTTCTTTCCTTCCTCTAGTACAGCAGATGTGTTCTGGGTCACAGTAATCTAGAGAATCTGAGGGGGACGGGGTGGGGATGGGGATATTAGAGATCACACAGTGATGGGGGCAGATTCTAGCTGGGAACCTGAGCCCTGAACACCCATCTTCCCCATCTTTCCATTGATGACTTTGCATTTGACCATCCCTCTCCCATGAGGGCCAAATCCTATGAGCTGATCGTCCCTCCATCTTACATGCTAGTAACGGATGATTTCTAAGTTTCGGATCTTTTGGCACCTCTTTTAGTTTACATCAGAAAGATGTCTGGTCCACTAAAGCAAACCGAACTGTCATTTTTCTTACTGGAACATTCCAACCCAGAGGCCAGCACAGAGGTGTCCACCAGGATGAAGGCTGGGATCTGTCCGTGTGGTGGAGAAGCAGTATCCCACAGAAAAGAGTCTGGAATTGCCTCTTCTTTGTCTAGGATTGGGCTATGATACCAGCTGCCAATTTTAGGGTACTAGTTCTTGATTTCTTTATTAAAAACAGGTGCTAGTGGTAATTGCTTTGTGGCTTAGTAAACTAATTTGTGGGTGATTTGCAAGCATTTGAAGCCAATGGCCTTGTAATTAACACGGATATTTTGAGTGCAATATGACTTACCGACTGTCTCCTCTTTCCCGTGTGAGGGTTCCTGAGTCCTCTGGCCCTGGGACGGAGCAGGCTCCCGCCCCTTCCAGGGTACCCCGAATTGGCCCATTTTCAGAAGTCCTTCTTTCCCCTTATCCCCTCACCCTCATCCCTTGAGCTCATTCACATACACCTTCTTTTTCTTCCTCTCTCAGTTCATTCATCAGGTATTTAGTTAAGGTCAAGCAGTGTGCCAGGACCTAATCTGACAATGAGATACAGCTCTGCCATGGAGAAGCGTCGGAGCTTGTTTGGTGTAGATTTGTCTTTTCCCCAGTGGCCTGGCAGGTGGATAACGTTGGCATCGGCATAAAGGTACTCTACAGAATTGAGATGTGCAGAGGTACTGTCTGTTGGGCTGATTAATCTTCATTCATTCATTCATTCATTACCATGCTGAGTGGTAGAACCATAGTTGTGTATAAGATGAGCACTGCCCCTTCCTCTGCTCTCCCTTTGCACAGAAGAATGTTAGGAGCTTTTTAGAGAGGAGGAACATCACTCTCTATTTCTACCCAGTGGGATTCTGAATTGTAAAACAACTGCCTTGAGCTATTTATCCGGTGGGTGGAAGGGCGGCAGCAACAATATTTTAATCCCCTGGTCACCAGACCATCGTGGCCCAGATCCAGCTCTAATTTCACAGATTTCTTTTGTTGGTTTCCAATAACTCTCCTTGCTATACGAATAGGAGGAATGAAGCCCCAGCACAGCCCGAGAGTGCCAGGGAACGGTGTGAGGAGCCAAATCCATCCCCCGTTCCTGTTAACAGGACCCCTCCAGCCGTGAGTAAAATCAAGATTAAGATGAAGTCTAGAAAATCTAAAATGTACCTTGGAGTAAGAAGCACAGTATCCAGGCTATTGTCTTTGTTTTTAAGGTGCTGGGAATGGAACCCAGGGCCTCATGCATGTTAGGCAAGCACTCTACCACTGAGCTGCACCCCCAGTTCTGTTGGGCATGGTTTCACATTTGTCTTGCTGCTTAGGTTATGAGAGGATTTGGCTGGGTTTATTCAGGGTGAGTAAACAGCCATTGTTTGGTTTCTGAGACCAGCTTAGCCCCTTCTACCTGCCACCACCTGGGAGGCCTAATGCACTTAGGTGTGTCTGTGAACACCTGATTTGTTCGTTTGTTATTTGTTTTGTTTTTGTGGTACTGGGGATTGAACGCTAGACAGGTGCTTTACCACTGAGGTATATCCTCACCCCAAAAACTTATTTTAAAAAATCTCTTAAGATGAACATTGTACAAAGTGGTTAGTTGCCATGCCAGCCTCCAGGCAGAGCCACTTGTTACCCTTACTTTTATTTTTCCTTCTACCTGCTTTTGGGCAGTATCGCAGTGCAAGGCTGCCTGGGCCCTGTGTGACGTGGCCCTGAGGTTCTGTCAGCGGGACCTCCAGGGATCCCCTCCGACCTCCGCGCCATGGCCTGTGCCTGGGGGACTTCAGTGATAGGAGAGGCTTCTCTATCTGGCAAGGCTGATGGCTGAAGAGATTAGAAACTGTATGAATTCATGACCAGGGATTTGTTTCTATTCCCTTTGAGAAAACCAACCAATTGCTAGATTAGTAGATGACTGCGTAAAAATCTTGGCTGAGCCAAAGTCCCTTCTTGGAAATACAAGCCATAAAATTCAAAGGACGTCAAAGGCCGTGGCTTGTTTAGGGGATTTTACCCCAGCTGCAAGTAGCCATGACACAGAGCGCTGGGACAGGATTCCAAGACCTGCTCCTTCTTTTTTTTTTTTTTGTACCAGGAATTAAACTGAGGACCCTGTGCTTGCCAGGCAGGTGCTTGTGCCACTGAGCTATATCCCTGGCCAACCTACTTGTTCTTACGTAGGTAGAGGAAAGCACCTCACAGATGTCAGGTGTGGCGAAGAGCAGCAGCCTGCTGGGTACACCTTGTCATCATTTCATCCTCATGGTTCTTCTTCCCATCACTACACAACTCACAGCCACCTTCCTCCAGGATGGTGGAGGTGTAACTGACATAGTAAAATCCACCCCTTTAAAGCATACAGTTCTGTGAATTTTGACAAATGTATATGGTTTTGTAACCACTACCAAAATCCCCATAAGATTTCTATAACTCTAAAAAAAACCAACAAAATGTTTCATACCCACCCCACTGTGGTCAGTTCTTTCTTCTCACCTCCTGACCAGACAAGCCTGATTGATATTCTGACCCTATAGTTTTGCCTTTTCTATATGTCATGTAAGTGGAGTCACACTGATGATATAGCCTTCTGTGGCCTATGATGTTGTATGTCACAGTAGTGTGCCCCTTTTCATTGCTGAGTAATATTCCATCATATCAAGTGGGCCACACGACTTTCTTATTTTTAAAGTGAATCATTAGCTCTGGAAGTTCATGGCCTAGGATCATCATCTTATTTGCATAACAACCCACTGCTTCTGACAGCTCCCAGGGCCCTCCTGCAAATGCCAGCCATGCCTACAAGTGGTTCTTGGGGTTTACTCCAGCAGTCCATGTTAGGTTTCCTCCAGTGCAGCCAGCAGCCGGAGCTTGGAGGGACATTGGCAGACAGGGTCACAGCTGCCTTTCAGATCAGCAGCCTGAGGCTTGCATCCCAGCTAGAAGATCCACGCCCTCCCACGCTCTCGCTGCAGGCTCTGTGCTCCCTGAATTGGGACTATGAGGGGTGCGAGGTGAGAGGCCGGCACTGGACCTGGGTGCATCATGATCTCTCCCTGGACCAGAGGCTTCCTGTGCCAGCTGAGGGGACTCGTTCTAGACGGGCTTTTGGGCCTCTCAGTACTGTGTTCTGTCTCCTCCCCATCGGTTTTGTGGTTTGTACCCCGTACACATGGCCACGCCTAACCTGGATGTCATCTGCACAGCTGCATGTAGAGTGGCCTAAAACCCTCACGAGGGACACCTCTCCATTTAGGCTGAAATGGAACCACGGAATGTTGTGAGCTAAGAATGAGACCATTCCTCCTAGGATCCCGCCCCCCCACACACACAAAAAAGGCTGTAAGTTGTTACCTTTTGGTTCTGCCCCCAGGAGCCAAGACAGGCATGCAGATGGTGTCACCTCGGTCGGATCCTAGCTGTTGCTGGAGCCTTGCTTGGCTGGTGGTCCCTGAGCCTGGCCTGTGCCTGCACCCCCTAGGGGTAGCAGAGGGCAGCAGGCATAGGACCCAGGCAAGCCCCGGCCAGGCTGTGGGTGTGACCCCAAGGTCCTCCAAGCTGTGTCTTGATCATATCCTGCTCAGTGAAGGACAACTGAAAGTCCCTGCCTGTGAACTGGGGACATGGCTGGTGGAGGCCAGATGACTCCAGAGCCCACGGGGCCCTGAGTGGAGAACAACTCAAGCAGTGAATGTTGCCGGGGAGGCCTCTATCTGCCCGCACTGTCCGGGAGCATCATTTGTGATGGGATCTTGCTGAAGGAGACGGGCCGCCTTTTGCAGCTTGAGTTAGGGTGGAAAGAACAGGTCAGACCTGTGTGTCATTCGCCCACTTCCAGGTGCCGGGCGTGGCTGGCAGGAGAGGCAGGGAGTGTCTTGGGTGGGTGGGTGTCCTTCAGATACTCTGGGTGGTGCTGGGGACGTCGGTCCTCTGTGGTGGGGGAGCATTTCGAGTGAGATTATGGTGGTGGAATGTGAAGGCTGAGGACCCAAGGTGCTCTCAGGGGGACAGTGTGACGTTGCGGGGAGAAGAAGAGCCTGTGGTACTGGAGGAAGAGCTAGGACTGGCCCTGCCCTGCTGCCTCATTTGTCCCATACCCTAAAGCCAGACCTGCATGTGGACCCTTGTGTGCTCATGTTAAGTGGGGGCGCTTCCCTGCCTGCACCTCCCTTGGCAAACAGACTCTCCAGCATTGTGGCTTTCAGGCAGCTCTGTGTGGACCCAGGGGCAGACATTCCAAGGGACACCAGCCATCGTGGGTGACAAGGGCCCCAAATTTGCATCTTTTCCCTTCCCTTAAGGAGGTGATGACCAGGTGACCAGATGTCCCCCTTCACGGACACAAGCACATCAGCAAGCCCTGTGAGAGTGGAATTTTCTAACAAAATAAACTTGCTTGTCCAGTCTGTTTTCTGTAACTTTTGCTAAATACTTTATACATTTTTTAATGTTACAAAGCTGTGTCTCCTGCCAGCATTCCTCACACCAGTATGAATGTGTTCACTCCACAGTGTATATCCTTCCCTCCTCTGGCTGCCTAGATCAGTAAATAAAATTGATGTAATATAATTTATAAGTAACACTGTTGAAAATCTGATCCCCATGGAGGGTGTAACCTGCCCCTCCCCTCCCCATAATAGTATTCGTGTGTATTAATGCTGAAGAATTAAATGTTTCAAGAGTTTAAGTTTTGAAGGCGTTTGCTATATATAATTGTCCTGCATTGATATAAAGTGTTTTCAGGAAGTTTACTGCTCTCTCACTTTTTTCCTCTGGCTCTGTATGTACACTTGAGATGCTTAGATTTATCCCATGTAAAATAAACTATCAGAGACACTGGGTCGTGCAGGGTGACCTTCCTTCCTAGAAGGCTGCCACAGTGTCCTGTGTAGGGATGGTCACAGCCTTTTTCCAGGGCTCCCAGGGCTGGTGATTATTCTGCTTCTGATGAGAGAAGGGACGGAGGGCACCTGGATGTTGGTACCCAGATGGATACTCTGTGCTGGCGCTAGCCCTGTCCCCCTGGTGACTTCCTGTCTGTGCGAGTTCCAGCCCTCTGCTTGCCTTCCACCTCTGAGGCTGTGGGCCGTTCATTCTCATTCATCCGTTCATTCCTTCAGCAATCACTGAGCATCCCTCAGAGGCCGGACAACGCTCTGGCATGGAAAGCACACCAGGGACTAAAGCACCGAGGGCCCTGCCTTCGCGCTTGCACAGCTTATGGCGTAGCAGGAAGGGAGACAGAAGCTGGAGACGTAGTAACTGCGTCATACTGTCCGGGCGCAGAAGAGCTCAGTGTTGAGCAAAAACACGAAAATGGAGGGTGAGGATGGGTCAGCGGGGGAGTGGCCTTCTTCAGAAAGAGGCATCTGCTCAGACACAGCAGACCTCCAGGTCACAGAGGAAGGGTCCAGCCAGAATAAATGTCCAAGGCCAGTGTGGGTTGTACGGATGGAAGGGGCAGGGAGAAAGGAGCGGGTGAGCTCAGGCAGGTGGCTGTGGGACAGGGCTGGAAGCACAGGGTGGTGCTGGCTGTCACAGGCCTTGGAGCTGTGTTCTGGGCGACACCGGCAGCCACATGCATGCCTGACATTGTGCAGGCGGGGCCGAGGCGGGGAGAGGGCAGTCAGGTGCCAGGGTGATGACGGGAGGGGGGCGTGGCAGAAAGGGAAGTGCTGAGGAGGACACCGAGGATGTACACCCAAAGGACAGATAGCCATTTATAGCAAGCAGATGGCCAGCAGGCTGTCTGCCCACCACCTGCATTCCCCTCTCCTCTCTCAGTGCTGGCTTTCTGGAGGGAGGAGGCTCATGCTATCCAGGGGAGGTGGAGGAGTGGGGTGAAGTTGGGGTCTGAGCCCAAACAGCCAAAACCAAGGTCCTGCTTGGGGACAACAGGCCCAGCCTCCTGCAAGCACTTGCTTCTTTTAGTTCAGGCATGGCTGGCAAGGAGAGAGGCCACAGCCCTCTCCCCAGCAGTGGCCGTCGGCAGTCTTTGGGGTACTGGGAGGGTTTATGGCCCCAGCTCAGACTTAACAAATCCATTCACTATACATCATCTGCAACAACTTGTTTGGCTAAGAAGCATACGCTCTCCCTCTGATACAAGATGTTTATGCAGGTTTTCAAACAAACCTCCGGGCCATGACCTCTCCCAATCTCAGCAGCATCAACACAGCTGCCTGCGGTCCCCTCCCTGGGTCCCCTCTGGGGAAGGGGGACTCTGCTGGCACAGCAACCTGAGGGATGTGGGCTGCACTATGCCGCTTTTGACCTGCTTCCCCTCTTTCCTCATCACCCCCCACCCCCAGAAGGGACAGAGAAGCCGGGGGTTTGGGGAGCTCTGGCAGTCTTCTGTTAAACCCAAGGCCACGTGTCTCTTCGCCCCTGACTTTTGCCCTTATCATGGCAGCTCCAGATCCTTACTACAGACGTGGAGATCCCGGTCCCCCCGCAGAGCCTGCCTGGGAAAGAGGCGGCTGTAGTGAATGAAGCGTGGAGCAGGGCGCTGGCAGAGCTGAGCTCTCCTGACTTGGCAACCAAGCACCCATGTGACCCAGGACTGGAGACGTGCCTTTTGGAACCTCTGGTTCTCACCAGTGACACTGGCCTTGCCTCGTGCACAGGCTTGATTGTGACAGGTCTGGCACCGGGAGCCGCTTCTCACCACCCACTCAAAGCTCAGAGCAACGGCCAGGACCTCTGCCTTCACCTTTTCTCTACCCTCCAAACCTTAAGGCTACGTTAGGCTACATGGAGACTCAATAAGTGAATGTGAAACAATTAAAAAGCGCATGCACGCGCACACACAACAGCATGAAGGTTTCCTGGGAAATAACTCCAAAACCATAAAGGTGGGGTATGCTGGGAGGGTAGGTCAGTGCTTTGATACTTGACCTTCTAGGTCCTTCCTGAGCAAGGTCAAGGTAGGGATATGATTTGGATCAGTATTTCTCAAAGGCCCACATGTAGAAGGTGTGGTACCCAGCCCGAAGTGCTACCGGGAGGTTGCGGAACCTTTCCGAAGGGGTCCAGTGACAGGAAGTTAGGTCACCAGGGATGGGCCCGTGGAGGAGGCTGGGAGACACAGGCCCCTTCCTGTCCCTTTTTGTCTTCTGCTTCCTGGCCATCCTGAGAGGAACGGCTGGCTCTGCCTCACAGTCTGTGTTGCGCTGTGCTGCAGCGGGCCAGAAGCAGTGGGCCCAGCTGAACGAAAACCTCCCAATGCGTGGGCCAGAAGAAATCCTTCCTCTCTTTTGATAATCTTGGGAATTCTGTCGCAGCAATAGCTGACTAACAGAGTGGGCCTGGTAGCGTTCTCTCAGCAGTGAGGCCTTGCTTTCCCCATCAACTGTCCATTAGGAAATGGAGCACAGCCTCCTCGCTTACCTGCCTGAAGGCATGAGAGCTTCTCCTTCCTGACTCTCACCCTCAGCGAAGAGGGAACAGCTTCCTATTCTGGGGGCAGCACTGCAGCTCCCGGTGTGCTTCCCTCCCGGATGTGCTCAGCTACGCCAAGGCCACTGCCAGCCTTCCCTCTGGGTGACAAGAATTCAGGGGTGCAATGTGTCTGAGGGTTCCCCTTGTGCTCTGTGTTCAGAGCTGCAGCGTGCTGAGACCCTCTCCCCCCCGTGCTCCTGTCCCATGTTTATTTATCCATCCACTCAGAAAATACATATTATCGCCTACTAGACCTCAGCACCATGCCGGCAGAAAACAGACAACCTACAGGCTGAAACTAAGCCACAGGTACATTGTGTTTGGCCCACATCATTTTTTTTTAAATTTTGAATTAATTGCCAGAGTTTTAAAATGTGAATATTGATTTCTAGATTTCCTTGCTTTGGTGAACAGCAAATACATACGGGTGTTCCTCAACTTACAATGGAGATTACATCCCGATAAACCTATTGTAAATTGAAACATCACATAAGCCAAATATGGTTTTCATGCACATAACCTACTGGACACCATAGTTTAACCATAACTACCTTAAACATGCTCAGAACACTTACATTAGCCTGTGATTCGGCAAAATCCTCTAACACAAAGCTACTTTATATTAAAGAGTTGAATATCTCACATAATTTACTGTACCAAAAATGAAGAACAGTAGAAGACTTTGCACCACTGGGAAAAAGAAATTGTACTGTAGGTGGAACCATCCTAAATCCAGGCCTCTGGGCGCTTAGCACTTGCTCTGTGCCAGGATGGGTTGATTCTATTCTGTGGCACACACTGACTCATTCTGGCCTGGTAATAACGGCATTCTGCCTGTTCATTCAACAAATATTGATTGAGGGCCCGAACCTGCCAGGCACTATTTGGGCAATGCAGATGAAGCCAGAAGCAACACAAAATCACTTCTTTTCTGGAGCTGGCCCTCTGCTGAGGGCAGTCTGGAGGGTATCCATGGAGGTGGGGCTGGGCGTGGGGGTTGTGCTATTGGAAGCAGAGTGGTCAGAATGGGCCTTGTTGAGAAGGTGACATTTAAGCCACAATGTAACCAAGGCAAAGGACGAAAGGAACCTCCCGATCAGAGAGAGGTGAAGAAACACGTGCACTCCTGGGATCCCAGCTATTCAGCAGGCTGAGGTAGGGGGTTACAAGTTTAAGACCAACCTGGGCAACCTATAAAGATCCCATCTCAAAATAAGGGAAAAAAAAAAAAAAAAAAAAAAAACAATTAAAAGGGCTAGACATGTAGCTCTGGGCTCCCCAGGTTCCATACCCAGTAACACGGAAACAAAACAAACAGCAAACAAGTGAATAAAGAAAGTGCCTCGGGCTGCACAGCCAGGGAAGCAGCAGAGCGGGCATGTGAGCTCCAGGGGGCTGCAGTCTGTGCTCTGAACTGCTGCCTAACCGAGTTTGCACCTGAGACGCCAGGCTGACTTGAGACACAGGGTCAGTGTGGAAGAAAAGCCTGGGCCACCACAGCCCTTTGGGGGCGGGAGGGGGCTATGGGATGCCCTGGCCCAAGGGCTGAAACTCCCTCCTTTCCTCCCGGGATGATTTGCTCGCCTGCTCTCAGCTCTTTAATCTCAGGAGGGTTCTGGGAGCTCCCGGCCCCTCCTTCCTCCAAGAACTGGGAAGAACTGGCTGCAAATCCCCCCTAATCCACCAGCGTCTCAACTTTGCCGCCCGTGGAAGCAGAGCCCCAGCAGCCAGACCACACGTCCTCGCCACCGCCAGCCGGTGCCCACTCGCCCTCACCCATGGGGAATAGCAGAAGCGGGGCGCTGTCCAAGGAGATCCTGGAGGAGCTGCAGCTGAACACCAAATTCACAGAGGAGGAGCTGTGCACCTGGTACCAGTCGTTCCTGAAAGAGTGCCCCAGCGGCCGCATCACCCGGCAGGAGTTCGAGAGCATCTACGCCAAGTTCTTCCCCGACGCGGACCCCAAGGCCTACGCGCAGCACGTGTTCCGCAGCTTTGACGCCAACAGCGATGGCACCCTGGACTTCAAGGAGTACGTCATTGCCCTGCACATGACCACCGCGGGCAAGCCCACCCAGAAGCTGGAATGGGCCTTCTCCCTGTACGACGTGGACGGCAACGGGGCCATCAGCAAGAACGAAGTGCTGGAGATCGTCATGGTTAGTCTAGTCCCAAGCCTCAGGCTGCTGCTGCTGCTGCTCCGGGACAGGCCAGGACGGAGCGGGGTGAGGGGGTGGAGTCTTGGGGTGTCTGAGAGAGTACCAGAGGCAGGGTCTCTGGGCTGCTCACAGCTGCCTCTTCCTCCTGAAAAGGAATAGGGTGTTTCCTAATAGTTGCTTTTTAAATTTTATGTATTCATTTCTGGGCTGGGGACTTAGCTCAGCGGCAAAAGCGCCTGCCTGGCAAGCGCAAGGTCGTGAGTTCGGTTCCCGGTACCGGAGAAAAAAAACAAACAAAAAAAAAAACAAAAAAAAAACATTTGTGCACTACCAGGTCTTGAACCCAGGCCCCTCACACCAAGCTACGTTTCTAGCCATTTTTTATTTTGAGACATGGTCTCCTTTCTGTCTTCTTCCCTCCCTCTCTCCCTTCCTTCCTCCCACACTCTCTCCTTTCGTTCTCCCTCCCTCCTTTCTTCATCAAAATCTTCAGTTTTTTTCAGCAGCATACACATTCCAATTCTAGCACAGTTACACTTAGGCACAGGACACAGCTCAGAGGCAGAGCAGGAAGTGGTCGCAGTGGCAGCGGGGAAATCTGGGTTCTGGCCCTGGCGGCTCCCTCACACCGGGCAGTGGCTGTGGGGCTGAGCCTCAGCGTCTCACCTGTCCCTGCATTCTCCCTGGGGCCCAGCCCCAGCTCAGGCCTCTGACACTTGTTCTCCTCGTGCCTCGGATCATTTGTTCTGACTGCTTGGTGTCTTCTTGCAAATAGGTTTTATCTAACATAAAAGTGATCCATAAAATTTAGAAACATGTGCATAAGAACACTAAGATTGCATTTAATTCTAATATCCTGGGAAGACTACCATTAACACATTGTTGTAGAACTTTTCAAACTTTTTTTTTTTTTTTTTTTTTTTTTTTTTTTTTTTTTTTTTTTTTTGTTTTGTTTTTCTCCGGTACCAGGAACCGAACTCACGACCTTGCGCTTGCCAGGCAGGCGCTTTGCCGCTGAGCTAAATCCCCAGCCCCAAACTTTTGTCTGTATAATTTTAAACAATTTTAGAACTGTAACAAATTCATGTATGATTTTTTACCATCTATTTTTCAGTTACTCTTTTATTGTGAGTGTTTTCCTTATCACTACACAATCTTCAAAATGGTTTTTAATAGCTGTTTAGAATTCCGTCTTATGGAACTGCCATAAGGTTATTTAAATATTTACTTATTTATTTATTTATTTATTGTAGTACTGGGGATTGAACCCAGGACCTTTGCTCTGATCTGTATTCCCAGTCCTTTTTTTTCTTTGAAGCAAGATCTTGCTAAGTCACTAAGTTGTCCAGTCTGTGCCTGAATAAGCACTTATTCCTATATTTTTGGGCATTGGACTGATTCATTTTTTTCCTATTATGTCATTTATGGTTCCCTTTAGAAATATCTTCTCACTTATTCTTTTTAATCTCCCTGCCCCATCTCACTTGCTTTATTTTTCTAATTCCATTCCTCTTAGGAAGGAAAATATTTTTTATATTTTACACAACATTTTTGTGTATTTGTAATTGTACTTCTATCTGTGGAATTCTTCCACCCTTATTAGGTGAACCCATAATTAAAATAGCAAAGCATGCATTTGTGGTCATTCCTGGAGCTCAGCTTGGCCCCCTGCTAAGGGCAGGCTGTGCTCCCCACATTGTTATTCGGGTTCCCCTGGAAGAGCAAGCTCCTCTGGGCTGCCACTGGGGTCTCTTGAGTGTGGCCCAGGTTGGGGCCCAAGGCTTCAGAGCCGCCCGAAGGATGCTGGACCCAGAAGAGGCCAGTACGCTGGTGCTCCATGAGGAAAGGGAGAGCTCGGGCAGGAGGGCGGAGGGAGGGAGGGGAAGATAAAGGGGTGTCACTGGCCGAGGCTGCTCGGGGTCGCAAGGTCATGGTTAGAGCACTGGCCTGGGAGCCAGAAGTCCCAGCTCTGACACCAACTGGCTGTGAGGCTGTGGGAGAACCACAGCCTCCCCGTGCCCAGGGTGAGGAGTGTACTTCCCGCCCCACACACCCCATGTTGGGAATAGGTGGGTCAGGTCTGTGGGGTGTGCAGGTCATGCCTACACCTGGGGCCTGTGAATGAGGACAGATGGAGCCGCTCTGAGGCTCCAGTGGTGCTGCTACCCTGCCCTGTCCTCTCAGGGGACTGAGACTGTTGACCTTCCTGGACGCCAGGCTGCTTTCACAGGTGTCACTGCTTGCGCCTGACCTGCTCCTGGTGTCTCCAAGGAGGCAGAAGTCTCTGCCCAGCCTCCTGCCTCTCATCCCAACACATCTGCCTCAGCCTGAGCCTGCCCAGTACCCAGGGACCTCTGGCTATGGGTGTCCTCCGGGGGCTGGGCCAGCCCTGAAGTTACCGAGCTAGTCAGATCCTGAAGATGGGGAGCTGGAGGGTGCGCAGTGGCCGTCTTGTCCTTTACCTGATCTCACAGCGCCGTCCTGCTCTGCTCTGTGCGACACAGCTGGCTCGTTGCTGAGAGAGGGGAGAGGGAAGTGAGCAGGCTCCTTGAGCCCAGAGCTCAGCCTTCCTCTGGGTCCGTCCCTGAGCGGCGGGATATGTGAGGGGCTTTCCGCGCCCTGGAGACACTTTTGGACTCATTGACACTTCACTCCCCCGTCCCCAGCCTCACCCTGTGTGCTCCAGCGCTGAGATGAGCAGGCTCTGGTGTAGTGCATGAGGAAGGTTCTGGAACCAAACTACCTGGGTAAAATCACTGCTGTCTGCTAGATGACTTTGGCAAGTTAGTTGCCTCAGTTTCTTCATTCATAAAGTGGGCCAATAATATCCATTTGGGAGTTGTTGTGAGGGCTAGACATAAAAATGCTTAGAGAAGTGGCAACTAAGTGCTCAAGAAATATGAGCCATTCTTACCGTAAACCAGTTCTGTGAGGAAACCAAGGTACCACACAGGCCCGGAAGCCAGTTGATACACGGAACCCCCGGGTAGTAGACTGTGGTACCGCTTCTCAAACGCCAGCCTTAGGGCTACTGTGGGATTATCACTGAGAAGTTTTTATTTCTCCTTCTCATTTTTTAAAAACATGAAACTATTGTATCTACATGATCAGAAAATTGAAACAGTACAGGAAGATGCAAAATAAGAAGTAAAACCTTCTTCTACGCCTTCCCCGTTTTTCTTGTCTCTTACAAACACCTCAACAAAGCAGATGCATCAGCCCCACCCTCCAGGAATTTTGATTGAGCAGATCAGATGAGGGTCTGGGCTTCCGTGTTGCACCCACTGCCTTAGAGGACTCCGGTCCTCCTAGGTTATTCGAGCCCTGAGAGAGGGAAATTGTGATGGAGGTGACCCAAAGTCCCCAGGGCTCCAAAGTGTTTTACGTGTAATGGCTGTAACAATTACATTCACTCTAACGGTGCGCCAGGATTCTCTACACACCTCGCCAGCACTTGGTGTTTCTTGTCTTTTCTTTCTCTTCAGTGTGACAGCTCAAACCCAGGGTCTCTTCCAAACTAGGCTAGTGCTCCACCGCTGAGCTACACCACAGCCCCATCTCTTGTGTTTTTCACATTGGCCGTCCAAACAGGTGTGAGAGGATAGAGCCCGTTATGGTTTGATTTTCGTCTCCCTAGTGAGTACTGACATTCAGTGCCTTCTCAAATCTCCTTTGGCCATTCGTGTGTCTTCTCTGGAGAAATGTCTGTTCAGGTCCATTGTCCATTTTTAACTGGATTATTTGTTCTTTTGCTATTGAGTTGTAGGAATTCTTTAAATATTTTGAATACAAATTTTTTATCAGACATATGGCTTGCTAATATTTTTCCCATTCAACAGGCTGCTTTCCATTTTGTTGTTTCTTTTGCTATGTAGATGCTTTGTAAAGTTTGCTGTAAGTCCATGTGTTCAAAACTCATTGTCAAGACCAATATCACGGAGCTTTGCGCATGTTTTCTGCTGGGTGTTGAACAGTTTCAGGTCCTGTGTTTAAGTCTTAATCCATGTTGAGGAGATTTTGTGTGTAGTTTCAGATGGGTTCTCCCAGGATCGTCAGCCCCTTACTACCCGCTCCAACACATTCTTTCTCTTGATCTGGAACAGGCCATTTTCAAAATGATCAACCCCGAGGACGTGAAGCACCTTCCAGATGATGAAAACACCCCAGAAAAGCGGGCGGAGAAGATCTGGACATTCTTTGGAAAGAAAGATGATGGTGAATTCTTTTTTCTTCATTGCCTTTGTTGTTATAGTCTTGGGCTGCTTCCTAGAGCCCTCAAGATTTATTCTTCAGAGTTGCAGCACCTAGGCAGGACTGAGCACGCTTCATGTCATCATGCTTGACCAAGGTCCGCTGCAGGGCTGTGAGGTGGGAGTGGCTGGAAGGGCAGCAGGGCCCAATTCTGCTGCCACTCTACAGCTGACATGGTGAGAAGGTGATGCCACCACAGGCCTGTCACTTAAAAATCTCATTTGATGCCTAGGGTCCCTTGGGAAAGAAGGAAGCTTCGAAACTATGGAGTGCGTTTAAAAAATAAAACTTTTTGTTATAACAGAGTTAACCTACATTAAAGGAATACCAAAATGTGAAAGCAGTAAGTTCATTGGCTCTTTGTATTCAAATGACCAGGGTAGGGGAAGTGCAAATGCGTTTCTTTTTAAGTAGAGAATCTGTTCTTAGACATCGCCAATTTACTTGTTTTTAAAACTGCTTTCTGCTCACTTAGAACAAGGGCAGACTGTAGTTCAGTTGAGCCTTGAATTGGCACCGATCCAAGTAAGTGGGTTCTAAGTTTATCCAGTCTCACTCTAGGAATTTAATTTGCATTCTCCAAGAAGCACCACCAAGTGAAGATGTGATTTAAATTAGAATGCCAGGGGTTATTGGAAGGAAAGCCAATGAGGGAAATGGGAGGGAGCTAGAGGAAGCCAGGAAAGCCACTGGGCTGTCCTGCGGGTTCAACTCCTATCAAGAAGTGAGGAAAAGAAGGAAGGATGGGTAAGAAACGTCGGGAACTGCGGTACTTTTCAGGGAAAGTATTGGCCAGCGGACGGGGCATCCCCAGTGAGCTGTCCGGTGCCCCGAGTTGCTCAGTCATTGTCTGGAAGCAGCCCGCAGAGAATGTGATCTTGCGGTGAAAGCAGTGGACTCTAGAAGTTGACAGCTGGAACTGACACTCATGATGCTCATGGCTGCAACTGGAAGGATACAGTAGAGGAACTTATGTCTGGCAGGAGCTAAAATGCAGAGGCCACAGGGGCCTGTACGACAAAAGCCAGTGAAATGGGCAGTAACTCCGCAGAATGATGGGGACCAACAAATGTAGGGAGTGGCTGGCTGATCCGATGACTTCAAGGACGTTCTGCTTGGGGCCACGAAGTCTACTGAGGCTGTCTAATCTGACTTTTTTTTTTAAACAAAGCATTTAACATTAATTGAGATGTTTAAATCCTGATATGTCTCAATTAATAAAACACGTCCTGGCCCAAACATATCTGACAGGTTAATAATGGCCCCTTTTGTGACCTATGGGGTACATAGGTCAGGCTTCTAGAAGAAAGCCCTGAGCAGGATGCTAAATAGGGTAGGCAGAGGTGATCTGCTTCTACTAATCTGCAGCTACACAAGGAAGTCATAGAACGTCATTAAAAGCGGTCAGGGTGAGGCAAGCAGGCCCAAGGCCATAGCATTTAAGGAAGCGCTCGCTCTCCGGGGTTAGCCCTGTGCTCTCATGACCTAGCAGCAAGTGCCTCCTTAAATTCTATGGCCAGGCACTTCAACTGCTTTGCCTCAGGCCGAGTGCCTCTCCTTTGAGCACTTTATCCCATTGGTATGCAGATGCCCTGGCTGCTTAGCCACTTTCCAATGGCTTCACTTCACCCACTGGCTTTTTAGGCCCTTCAGCCCCTTCATAACCTTCCTCTGGGTCTGCCGAGTTCTCTGTTGTGGTTCTGCTATTTGCTAATCTGAAAACTGACCAATGTGACCAACTCAGGCGAGGGTGGTATTGGAGGGCTGCTGGCTGACATGCTTTCCTGTTTCAGGAGACAGTGCACCTCTAGGTCAGACTCTGGTGGTGGGAGTTTCAAGCTCTGCATGATGGTGGGTGGGCCCTTGAGAACTCTAAAATCCAAATTCCACCGCCCAGGCTTGTGCAGGAACCGTCCTGTATCCTAACCCACGGTGCATTAAGGACGCTTCCAAGTCAGGTCAGCAGTGCTGTTTGGAGCATTTTTGTGTTCTAGGCACTATGAGCATAAAACCATGAACAGAAAGGACCATCGGTCTCATTCTAGAGTTATTTCTCTATGGACTGTCTTCTGCACTAGATCAAGACTTTCCTAGGGAGGGACTTTAACTCACACTCCACCCTCTGCCCTCTGCAGTGGCCTCAGCCCAAGCCCAGGGGCATCTGGCATGCAGAAGGGCCTGGTAAGAAGTGCTTAGCTGGGTTGAACCTAATGTAGTAGGCAGCTGGGGAAGACCGTGGGAAGCTGTGCCCGGCAGGAGAGCAAGGCGCTCAGCCCTGGTCCTGAATGAGGAGGGAAGTCCGACCAGGGAGTATGAGGGTGGATGCATAGAAGTCGTCAGTTTCTGAGACTCGTGAGGCTGCCTGTGTACTGCGGGAACCAAAGAGACTTTTCTGTAAGCCAGCCTTTCCCTGGCATCCTTACCCTCTCCTTTCACTCTCTGCTCCCCAGGAAACCATAGCTGCCTGCTTCCCCACAGATACCTCGAGCCTGCAAGACAGGGCATTTGCTCTGCTCAACCCCATAGTAGGTCTCCCCAGAACTTAAGGGTCGAGACTTGGTGTGATATTAAGAGTATACTAAGAGAAATAGTTATCATTATTACTTATTTAAATATTTAATAACCAGCAAGGCAGGGGCACAGGCCAATCAATAGGGACACAGACCCCAGAATGGTCACCCTGCAGGTCTCTGCAGTCCGGGTCATTGCCCTCTTGTTGCTGGTGCAAAAGGGAGTGCCAAGGTTCTGGGAGGGGAACTGGGTGGGTGGAGAGTGCCCCGCGGGGTGGGGCGCTGTGTGTTCAGTATTTTCACAATTGATACAGTCACACTGGGCACACTGGCTGGACATCAGCCCCACTGCAGCTTGAAATAGCCAGTTCTGACTGATGTGTTTTCCCCACGTGCAGATAAAATTTCAGAGGAAGAATTCATTGAGGGGACCCTGGCCAATAAGGAAATTCTGCGACTGATCCAGTTTGAGCCTCAAAAAGTGAAGGAAAGGATAAAAGAAAAGAAACAGTGATGCCAACTGCTCAGCTCCTCCCTCCCTCTCACTGCCCCACTTCAACACGTTTGAGTGTGCACGCATATACCACACACGCGCGCGCACACAGGCGCACATACACACACGCACACAGGCACGCCCAGGGCCAAGGGAGAGGCCTTCAGACCTCCAGCCGGACTGAAGGATCCTTAGCAGTGCACCAGCCCCCTCCTCCCCCTGCCTGTCCTGTCCCTCCTGTCATGTCACTCCTGCCTTCCCTCCCCCTCCCTCGCCTGCTGTGCCTGCATAATAATCCCAGGATTAAGTGACAAGAGTCCTAAATGTTAGCCCTGCCTAAGCTCCTTTGTGAATTGCTGAGTAAGTGGATTCCAATAAATTCAAGAGGAACTGGACACACGGCTGCTTGGTCTTTCTCCCGCTGGAAAAGGACCCCGTTTCTTCCAACTGTACCTTAAAGAAAAGAATGCATTGTGATTGCAGTCTTTAGCCAGCTGGGGTGCTGAAGAAGACACACGGTCTTGCTCTCATGGAGCGCCTGGTTCAGAGGGGACAATGGATCTCAAGGATGCCACAACAAGGTTTCCATGGAGACATGCAGAACACTAGGGCTGACGTGTCAGGGAGGATCGGGGGTGACATTCCTGTGAAAGGACACACATTCAGACCCAGTGGGCTGTGTAAGGTGGATGCGGGCAGGAGAGCTTGTGCCTCAGAACGCGGTACACTGAGCCAGGGAGGCAGGGATAAGCAGGGTGGTGCCAGGATTGTAAGCAGGCCAGCGGGGAGGAGAGCAGGAGGAAGAAGTGTGAGCTGAGCCTGAAAGGTAGATGGGGCCAGATCCCCAGAGGCCTCTCTGAAGCTCATGGTGAGCACTGGACATCACCGTGGGGGTGGTAAGGAGACTGCGCAGTTTGGAGTAGGAGGGATTTATATTTGTAAAAGCAGAGGAACAAGACTGGGAGCAGGAAGCTGGCAGATGATGCATTCCCTGGCCGGGCCCAAGAAACACGGTGGGAGGGAGAGGACAGGCCCCTGTAAGGATGCCCATAAGAGGCAGCATCCATCGATTGGCTGCAGGCACCAGAGGAAAGAGGAGCAAGCATGGCAGCCAGGATGTGATTGGAGCACTGCGTGAACAGTGACACCACCTACTGAGATGGGAGACCAGGGCACGTTACTGATTTCAGCAGATAAGGAGGAGTTCGATTTTGACTTAATGAGTGGTGAAGACTGAGCCATTGAGGTCCTTGAGGGCCCACATTTTAGAGACAAGGAAAAGAAGCAGAGGCTCAGCAACAGGAAACAGCTTGCTGGGGTGAGTCAACTGATTAGCAGAAGCCAAGCTAGCTCTCCACTAGTGCACACTGCCCGCTTAGAGCTCCAGAGCCGGGGACGTCTAGGAACTCATGAGAGGCTTCTCCAACTTCATTGCATTCGTTGCTTAGAAAGACCATTTATTTTCCAGCCTTAAGTTCTAAGATGAGGCTATTGACCTCATCTTTGGACTATTGACCAACCTATATCCAGTGTCTTGTGGCTGAAGAGTCTCTGCTGGTGTTGGGAGGTTGGTAATAACCCCATTTCTCAAGATGCAGCCTTGGTGATGGCTCGGTCACCATCCCCAGAGAGGAGTCCTCTTGGTAGAGAGAGAATAAAAGAATAAATACTGGGGTGTGGAGTGTTAAAGACCATAGACAGTGTTTTGTGAGGCAGGCATTATCATGATCCGCGGGCAGATTCTCTTTGGTGGCAAGATATTCACCAGCCCATCCAGGTTGACTTCTTTATGGTCCCAGTTTCAGTAGAAATGAGATCATCTCATTCTGTTAAGAGTTCCAACCATAGTCCCGGGATGTGTCTCCCTGCCTCTGATTGATTATATGCCCATCCCTGACCCGATATCTGATACCTAGAAGGTGTAATATCCTACAGGTTTTTATTGCTATTCCTGGAGCTGAAGATGGAGTCACAAAGCCTCAAAATTCATGGACTAAGAGTAGAAGATATGTGAAGTCCAAGAAGAAAACTGAGGTGCTGTAGGTATGAGAATAAAAGATTGTAAAAATAGGTGTCTACGTGAGAGACCTTAGGGAAATCACATCTCTAAACTCCTGCACCTCCTCCTGTACATGTCAACTCAAGGGCAGAAGCAGATTATTATTCCACTAAGAACAATAATCCAAACTGAATGGTACCCATTGGATGCTTTTTAGCATACTCAGGAGATGTATCCCACAGTTTCACCAACAAGTCCCTTAATGCTTAGGGGCCATTGGTGGCCCCAAGTCTCATATTTCCCACCATAGCCATGGCTATAGTGTTCTTGATGAGCTAGAGCTGTGTACTTATCTGCTGAGATGCCTTCTTGGTTAGACTATGTAAGAAGGCCCCCATGGGGAGTGACATGTGCTGTGGAAATTGATTTATGGGCCAGCTCTCCTAGACTTTTCTGCAACTTCTCCCACCAGGCTCAGACACTGTCCACAGAGTCAGAGTCAATAGACATCATGCTGCTGCCCCTCACCCCATTCCTGCGGTTAGACAGACTCACCAGACAAGCCCAGGTAGATCTGTGTCTCAGGGTCTTAGGCTGCAACCAGAATGACCACCCCTTCACAACCTTAAAACTGGGCCAACCACACCCACACTATCACTTAGACTTGCGAGAATCAGCTGAGTGTGTTTCTATGGCAGAATTAAGTTTGAAGTGCTGCACAGGTGGAAGGATTAGTTTATTTGAACTTCAGCAAGGTATTTTAAGTTTTCAGAGAAGGATTCATGCCCTTCTCCTTTGGCTCATCCAGTGTTAACCTTGACCACATTAAAACCACTCAGGTGACCTTAACACAAAAAGGAGAGGTAATGAAAAAAAATAAACTAGATTTCATCAAAATTTTAAAATTTTGGACATTCAAGAGCACTATCAAGAGAGTGAAAAGGTACTCCACAGAATGATAGAAAATATTTTCAAATGATGTACTGTATCTGATAACAGATTCACATCCTGAATATATAATGAGCTCCTTCAACTCAACAACCACCCAAAAATATCCAGTGTTTTTGAGACAGGGACTCGCTATGTAGTCCAGGCTGGCCTTGAACTCACTATGTAGCCCCAGCTGGCTTTAAACTCACAACAATCCTCCTGCCTCAGCCTCCCGAGTGCCCAGATTACAGGTGTGCTCCACTGCACTTGGCTAAAACTTCAATTTTTAAAGTGGACAAATACATAAATAGACATTTTTCTTAAAAAAGGCATAAAAATTACTAATAAGCACATAAAAAATACACAACACCTTTTCTCATAAAGGAAATGCAAGTCACAATCACAGCCATTCAGATGGCTATTAGTTTTTAAAAGGGGAAGCACTTGCCTTTTGTCCTCTGACCTCTGCCTCTAGTTCCTCCCCCTCTGCCCACTCTTCTGGTTCCTAAAACAATGGACCATCCGGTCTCCAGCCAAAGCCACAGCCCTTTCTCCCCACTTCTGTTCAGAAAGAGTGCACCAGATTCTCCAGACACCTGAGAGACTCTCAGCTCCAGGAGAGACAAATGTAAAAGAATGGACAAAATGCAAATCAGCTTAAATAAATTTGTTTTAATCATTAGCAGGGTGAGAGCAAGCAGTGTGGGTGGACCACCCCATTTGTAGACCTGTGGGACAATATATTTACAAGTACTTTGAAAGAATAAAGTTTCTCCTCCTCGTGGCAGGATCCTTGATGACTTTCTCCTGACAGCATCCGGCGCTCCCTGGAGAACTTCCAGTCCCGCCTCTCTTGAGGGCTGTGTGCCAGGTACCTACTCTAGCCGGCCCTCCATGCTGGATGTGTGCTGGGAATAGGAGATGGTCTCAGCTTTCCAGGAGTGATCAACCGATGGGCCAAAGGAGGGACATTTTCAGCCAACGAGAAAAGTAGCAGGAGGTGTATTTCAATGTCTGAACTATGCATACTCTGGACACCAAAAATAAAACTGCTTCATTATGCACTTGCCCGATACCTTGGCTTCTGTCCCCATCCTGCAAGCCAGAGGTGGGAACAGTATAAAATTCAAGGGGGCACCAAAAGACTTCATCTTTTGGTGAAGAACTTTTCGAGAACTTTTCGAAGAACTTTTCGAGAACACTTCAATGCAATAATTTAAAAATCAAAATTAGTGTCACGAAGTTCCTCATGAACAAAATATTACTATTTCAGATAAAGTCAAGGTCAGAGCCTGGTGCCAATGAAATTTATTTTTGTAACTCATGGGCTGTAATTTGTGGATTTGACTTTTTAAAATATTACATGAAAGTGCAATTTATTCTGATCACTGAGGTTCTTAGAGGTGAATTTTGTAATGGTCTCAAGCTTGTCCTGGCCCTACTGTAAAGTATCCTGGAAGACAGAGCTGCCAGGTAAAAGAGAGTGTGCATGATTAAATTCAAACTTCAGATGATATGTACCCATTGGAATATACTTATACAAGAGGCTGATTTGATTGTCTGAAATTCAAATGTAATCCAGAATCATGTTTTTGGTGTATTACTTTTGAGGTACTAGGGGTTGAATCCAGGGCCTTCATATTAAGCTACATTCCTAATATTTTTTATTTTGAAACAGGGTTTTGCGAGGTCACTAGATGGGTCAGGCTGAGCTCAAACTTGCAATCCTCCTGCCTCAGCCTCTCAAAATGCTGAGATGATAGGCAAGTTCCTCTGCATTCAGCTCAGTTTTTGTTTTTGTTTTCTAAATCTGGCAGCCCTTCATGGAAAGTATCACACATGTACCTGGCTCCCACACACAACGTGCAACGGTACTTATCTCCACAGCAACATACCTCACCCACTTGCACATAAACTTTATACGCTATAAAAGAGACACTCCTAGACATGAACACAATACTACCATGGCCTAGTCTTCTCTTCCTCTTCCTTCAAACACTTGCTTTGGGGCTCAGCCACTGCACCTGATCTCTACTGTCTTGTCCTCCCCAACCTCCCTAGGTCAGATTCTGGTACACAACTCATATAGTCTTGGGCCTCTCAGTGCCAGGGTCTTTTGCTTTACCTACGTACCTTCTGCTTTTTCAGGGATACTCAATGGTATCCACTGGAGAGCAGAGTTCTTACCAACAGGGCCTGAGGTCAGGGAAAGTAGTGGATAAACAGCCGGAGCGAAAGGCATCGCCATCAACTCATCAGAGGCCAAGTAGAGAGGGTGCCTCCCAGCCCTGAGGAAGGTACAGCAAGTCAGGCTTATAGAAGCCAAGCTTGGAAAGGCAGGGAGAGCCCAAAAGGAGAGAGAGAACCAGTGATGACATTTGGAAGGTTGCAGAGAGCTGGGGACAATTGTCCAAGGAAAGGCAGGTTGTGATGGCTCAAACAAAGTCTCTGCTGACCATAGATGGAGAACTGAGATGCAGAGAGGAAGATAAGACTCAACAGGTGGGGAAAAGAGAAGAAATGAAGGAGCAAGATCTGGTGGGTGACAAGGGATCATGCACTGTCCAAGGAGCAGGTGTTTCACAACCGGGCTGCAGATGCAGCGTATGCCACTTCACCCTGCGGTGGACCATGCCAGCAAAACGTTCCCTCACACCCTGCCCAATGTTTTCCAAGGGTGGGCTTGCATCAGAATTCCTGAGAGCCTTGTTAGACAATTCCAATTTTCAGCCGTCATCCCATATTCACTCTTTTAGACTTTCCATCATGAGCCTGAAATTCTGTATTGCTTAGAAAGGTCTCATGCATCCTAAACCCAACCTCTCAAAGAAACCATGTGCCCTGAGAAGGAAAGCAAGGGACACTGGCTAGACTCTATTTAACAAGAGGCTTCTCTGCATCCCGGGGTTCCATTCACTTGAATTTAGGGCCAGCCTCCCCAGACCAGTGGTCATTCTGAAAACACAGTGGTGGGGGTTAAAAGGATGACATAAAGCAGGGCAGAAGCTGCGAGCTCCACACAAGTTTGTTCATACAGAGCTTGAAGGACCTGGACCTAGACCTCACATCCAAATGGGCATAGGGCATAGGAAAGAATGATTCTGTACTTGGTCACATCCATCCTGCTTTGCCTCCTGTGTCCTTGTGCTTCTCAGGAGACCCCAGGTTTGCAGAGCTGGAGTGGAGTCCTCTGCCTTAGATCTCACTCTCTTCCAGAATCTCCTCCATGGTGTTGGCCAGGGTGAAGTCTCCCTCACTGCTCTCAGACAGGCTGATGCCCCGGGGCCAGACGGTATGGCCCTGGTGAGGCCGGGTAACCAGCCTCCCCACGCCCTGCAAGGCCAAGTGTGAGCTGTCTGGTGAGACCTGCAGCTTGTGTATCATCTGGGTGCCCTCTCCCTCTGAGAGCTTCTTGGGACACTTTCCCAGGAACCGGAAGTTTTTCCGCAGGACCCAGGCTCTGCAGCCTGAGTGTCGGGCAAGCAAGAAGCGGACCCAGGACTTCCACAGCTCAGCCTTTACCTGCCAAGGGAGACAAAGGTGGGTTCATCAGGTTGGAGAGGCTATCACTCACGTGTTCATTCAACAAATGTTTGTTGAGTAACTACTTCCACCCTTGGGAAATTTACTTTTTAACTAGTGGAGACAAACAAAGACACTAAGTATATCAGACAATGACACTGTGAGACCACAAAAACAATGCAGTGCGGAATGTTAAGCATTATAGGAGGCCTCGGTTTTGGACTAAGATCCTACAGTGGGCCGTAACAGACTAGACTGAAAATCAAAATGGAGCCACCATTTAATCCCTGCAAATGTTCCGTGTCATCAGATCAAATCTTCTTGGTCCTCCAGGAAATCAGAAGAGAGAGATGACAGCCAATTTTTCCAAACAGGCCAATTTCAATGAGGCCTAGGAATGAAGATCCCTCTCCCTTAATTAACCCTTACACAGAAAGGTAACCTGAATAACCAATCTGCTATTACCCTATCCTTCTGCCTCTTTGTCCCTTTGAAATGCCCAATGTGCTTTTTGTCCTTTTATTTCTCCTTTCTTCAGACTCTGCCTATAAAGTGAATCTCTCTACTCAGCACATTGGAATGCTCATTTTATTTTACAGAATGAAATGCTGACTGATTCTAGAGTGGCAAATAAAATCAATTAAGAGCTTCAAAATAAGTTATTGTAATTTTTGTTTTTTCCACAGGAGATTAAAAACTTGAGCTACAGCATTCAGGAAAGGACTCTGCAGGGCGGTTTTTGAGCTGACACCTGCTTAGTAGACAAGGAACCCCTGCATTTAGACAGAGAAGCAGAAGCAGTGAGAAAACTGAAGAGGGCTTTGCTGCCAAGTCCGGGAGGAGACAGAAATGAATGTGTAAACCTGGGAAAGGAGGTAAAAGAGGGCTGGAAACTCCTGAGTCTGAAAGACAGGAGAAAATACCTCTTCTAGCCTCTGCCCCTTCTTCCTTCACACGTTTTGGATGTGAAGTTTCTATATTTGGATCTTGCATGGCCCTGAGAAGCCCATAGGATAAAGGCTTAGTCCCCGGCCTGTGGTGCCTGGAGGTGGTAGAAATAAAGAGGTGGGTCCTAGTGGGTGGAAGTTAGGCTGTGGGGTGCTAGGAGGGCCTTGCAGAAGAGGATGTTGGAACTGTATCCTCTCTCTCTGCCACCATGAAATGAGCAGCTTGGTTCTACCACATGCTCCAGTCAGAAGGCATTTCCCTTCCCACAGACCCAACAGCAATGAGTCCCAGCAACGATGGACTGAAATCTCTGAAACCATGAGCCTAAATAAACTTTTCCTCATTTTTAAATTGATAATCTCAGATATTTGTTATAATAACAAAAAGTTGAGTAACACACCCGAGAGCTAGTTGGAGCTGTGTGATAATATTAATAAAAATTATGGTTCCTAGATATTGAGCCTTTATTATGTGCTCAGATGCCCAGGTACCACTATAAACTAAGAACAGTTATTATTTCTATTTTATAGATGAGGAAACTGGGGCTAAGTACGGCACAATAACCTGACTAACTCACAGAGCTCATATGTGGACTTGCTAAAGCTTGAATGCAGAGTTTTGGACTCCAGAGTTCATGCTTGTTTCAGTGCCAGATTGGGATTCTGAGTTTCCTTGAAACCATCCCCTTTACCAGGGTTGCCTCCTGTTCTCTATGCCAGATGCCCACAATACAAATTTGTCTCAACACGAGCAGAAACCTCTGGGGACAGGACTCCAGCCATGGCCTCAGAAGAAGGCAGAAAGGTCACACGGAAAACATACCTCTCCATTAGCAAAGCCATACTGCAAGGCCACGAGGAATCCCTGGAATGAAAGGAAGACATGGCATGAACTTTAAATTGAGAGAAGATGTGTCTGAGAGCTCCCAGCAAAGTCCAAGGAGAGGCGTGCAACTAAATTCCTTACACTAAGAAGAATCAATCATACTGCTTATGCTACTTAATTCCAGAGCATCTCTTCTTACCTTGGCATCCACCACTCATATCAGCCTAGCTGTTTGCTTAGGTGCTTGTGAGTGCATATACAAGCTTGACGATGATTCAATCCTAAGACCCCATGCCATTCATACAGTTACACAAATAACAGACAAGGTAACTATCTCATCTCCATTGTCCAAGGTGGGCATTGGCTAGTTTATGTTGTCTAACTTGCATTCTGTCCTTTTGGAAAATGACTCTTCTCTGTCATTTGGGTTCCTAACACAGCTTTCAGTTATGTGGTTCCCCTGCTTTAGGACGCCATCACTACAATAATTAGCCCACGTAGGCCTGCCACCCAAGCAAGGCCAATCAGCATTTTTTCATAGGGAAAGGGCAGAGATTACACTCTCCTCCCTGTGTTGGCCAGTTCTGTAGATCACTAAGCTCAGAGATACTGCTGCTATTTTCTCAGCTACATAGAGAGAGCCCACGTGAAGGTGAAGCCAACACAGAGGTCAGAGATGGTGAGATACAGATGTCTGATGATATTTTTCATATCCAGCTGTGTCTGGTTCTAAAAATTTCACTCATGTGACATAATGAATACACTTTTTTCTTGTCAGAATATTCCTTTGGAAGAGATACATTATTTCCCATCCCATTTAAAACAAAATAAACTCTCTTATCCATGAAAGGTCCTTGGTGACATAGGCGCTGCCTTTGTGTTGTTAGTTTCATATTATGTTCTGCTTCCCCTTGGCCACTATATTTCTGCCACATGGGCCTGCTGGACTCCTCCAGCATGTTAAGTTCATGTATTTGGGACCCACTGCTGCTTAACCTAGTGAATCAAAACAATGAAGTTCTATCATCTCATACACGTCCTATTGCCAAGGACCTGGAAGAGGCTTAGCTGGATGTCCTGGCTACAGGTCCCTCGTAAGGTGCAATCAAAGTGTTGGTAGGAACCGCAGTCATCTACAGGCTGGATTTGCTTCCAAAGCACCTCATGTGACTGGCAAGCTGGTACTGGTTGTTCTGATTATAGTTCTGTAGATTGTAAATGAGTTCAGGATCACTATTTTTAAAAACCAAAGCACATCTATGTCAGACGTCTCAGTTCCAGGGTAAAGCATAGTTACAGTCATATAAATGAAGAAGTAGAATTTCCCCCTCACATCATAACTATTAATCAATGTGCAAACAATCTTGCAGAATATGTTCTACTGTTCTGGTTTCAGAATCAGAAATATTTGTGGTCAGCTTCCCTATTTTCTCATTTAGCTGGACAACGATGCTAAGTTGGGTGTGGTTATTGGTAGGAGACTGCGGTCTCTCTCCATAGATTTCTTCAGCACCTTCCTGACATGGAAGTTGGCCTCCCCCAGAGCAGGAGAGCCAACACAGCCAGGCATAAGCTGCAATTTTGTGACTTTGCCTGGGAAGTCACAGTATCTCAACAGGAACACAAGTCAACCCCATGCAATGTGGGAGGGACTAAACAAGGGCTTGGCTGCCACTGAGAGCCATGTTGGAGGGTACCCCATTCGCTTCTGGCCCAAAACCCCACACATGTTCATTATTTTTTTGTCTACTTGGTTATTATCTATCCTTCTTAATCTCACCCACCTAAACTAGCAGCCTTACCTAATCCTTTCACTAGCAGATCACCAGTAACTGAAAGAGTACCTGAAGTGTAATAGAATCACACCAAATATTTACTGAGTAACTGAATGGATGAGTTGGATTTATGTCACTTACAGTTAAGAGTATTGCCTTGTACAGTGTCAGGCTACTTCTTTTTTTGTTCTCTACTTAGTTATTTAGAATTGTGGAAACAAGGATTCCGCTGAAAACATTATAAGCCATCATGAAATAGCATTTTCATTTACAAAGCATTTACATTGGGGATTGGAATTATCTCCTCAAGAAAGAGATAATCCCTTGAATTGGGAATTTTTTTCTAGATTCATTGTCAACTGCCAGAAGTCTGGAATCAAAGATATTTCAGCTAATGTTTGCTTCCCATTGGTCCCCCAGACTTCTGTGCTCTCTGATTTGTCAAACAGCCACCTGTGATGACCTGCATGCCTTGGCTTTCCCTAGTAGAAATGAGGGTTTGTGGAATTTGGGCTACATGTCTGATATACTGGAGCTGGGTATATATGCTGGACTCAAGTACTTGAAGGTTTTTTAAGGATAAAATCTCATAAAATCCCCGGACTCAAAAGGAAAGGACGCATCTCCAAATAAAGAGTGAAGGTCCTAATATCAGGTTGACTCTTCCTATCCCTCTTGAAAAATAATGCTGGGGGAAGATTTTTTCATGATTTTCTGGGGCCAGGCAAGTAGTCTCCAGGCTGGCTATACATCAATCAAATGCTTAATTTGCAGCCATAAGTATGAAATTTCCCTTCTCTTACACACCTCGATATTTCCATGGCTACAACTTCTAAATAGGGGCATGGTGGTACCAGCTCATCAGTTTCACACATTAAATCACGCCCTGTGTGGTTGCCATGGCAGGTAATATTGGCCTCTGGGCACTTGATATAGGAAGAGCTAGCTTTCAGCGCTCTCAAAGCAGGTAGCTAAAATAGGATCCCGTAGGAAAAAAGTATCTTTCCACTTTCTCAGGTGCCTGCTTCACTGTTTCAGGAGCATCCTGGAGTCTGCTTTCTGTTCCAGATAAAGCAAACATGAAGGGAGTAGGTCCCGCAGAGCACCTGGCTTTCGTGTCACACAGCACCATCACTTGGCAGTCTCTCCACAGATCTGCTCACAGCGGGAGTCCAGAGAAACTCTAAGCCGAGAGCCTCTGGAGGAGTGCAGGACCCTCTAAAGAGGCAAGGGAAAGGAGCTTTTAGGGTTAATGCCTGTTCTTGCTGGTGGACTCACTAAGCCTCGATCCACCAAATGTGCCTCCACACACTTCTTTCCCCTGTGAGTGGTGGGACAAAGTGAAACAGTGCTGAAGCATCCAGCGGGTTGGAGGCTCTGCCCACACATACACCCTCCAAGGGTGGTTTCTGTTTCATCCTGGGGCGAAACACCCTGCCGAGATACTCTGATTCCTCACTCTCCTCAACAGAATGAGGTGCTGAGCCAAATCTCAGCTGGCTGCAGGCCCACGATCCACGTGGTAGGTGGGCTCCAGAGATGGTCCCATTGATTTCTCCCCTTTATGTAGGCTCAGGCTGCTCCTCACATCAGAGTGGACTTTGTTTTTCCTCCTCTTGAATCTGAGATTACTTTGCAGCTCATTTTACCAACACAATGTGGTTGATGTGGCATTCTCAAAAAGCACAGACTTTTGAGACTATGGCTTATGGGACTGGAAATTTCTGCTTCCTCCCTCTTAGAATATTTGCTCTTGAGATACTCCAAGAGTCCAGACACCATAATGTGAGTGGTCCACGACACATGGAGAGGCCACATAGGGAGAACCGAGGCTCCCTGACTTGCAGTCTTAGCTGAGCTCCTGACTAACAGATCTGGTCTGTCTGGCAGTGTGAATAAATCATCATGGATGTTCCAGCCTAAATGAGACTTCAGATGTTTGCAGCTCCAGACAAAATTTACAAGTATAGAAAAGATGACATCTATTCAGCTCAGACATACCATTACACAGAATCATTAAAAATAATAAAATGATGACTTGGAGGCTGAGACAGGAGGATCACCACGAGTTCAAGGCCAGCCTGAACTACATAGCGAGACCCTGTCTCAAAAAAAAAAAAAAAGAATAATAAAAAAATGATTGTTGCTTTCAGCCCTGAAGGTTTGAGGTGGTTTATTACACAGCCAAAAGATGACAAAAGCATCCTCCCATATCCGAGGAATCTGCTGGGCTAGGGCTAGGTTTCTTTCTTAGATGTCTGTTCCACATATCTGCACATAAATGACTGGTCCTCAACTATCTTTGGATGTATGAAATCACGTGACCAGGGCTTACCTAGACCAGTAAGAGTCACCAAAAAAGGGTCACCAAATACTACTGATATAACAGTTGCAGGATTTTGCTCTTGAGTTTTTTCCCCCCTCACTGGGGATTACCTTTCAAAGAAGATTAGGGCCATGTAACATAAGAAACCCAAATTACTAAATCTTAGGTTTTTAAATCCTCCAAAAGATTGAAATAAATTAAACATGTTTTTCTAATGAAAAAAACAGTTACCAGTGGGTCTTCTGTCTCAATTCATAGACACACAGAATTCGGCTCTAAAAGGAGGGGAAAATCATTATCCAACCCTCCCAGCCATATCTCGAGCTGTTTCCTCAGTCTGGTGAGCATGTAGAGAACAAGCACATCTTCTCTTCTCGGTGCACAGATTCTCAGCACCTCACCCTGCCTAGTGGCAAAGGCTTTAAGACCGTTGTCTAAGGAACAGAGTGTCTCCTGTTGTAATCCTTACACTCTCACCTAAAAGGCATTTTTGCAGAGTAGGGATAGCCTGCAAAGGGGTTGCACGGGGCCTGACCTCTGGAAAAAAATTTCCTCTCTGCTACTTATTAGCATGTGCAAGGCCTCTATGCCTCAGTTCTTTCATCTTTCAGATGGATATAATAATTACTCTTTCACAAGGATACTGTGAAGAGTCAATGAGAATGAAGTTCACATTAAACACATAATTTCTAGCATATTATTTTAATGCTGTTGCCGGTATTTTTGCTACTTTTTAAAGTTATTTTCTTAGCATTTATTAAAAGGATTATAACGTATCTTAATTTGCCACAATCAATTTCACATTAATACTAACAATTCTGTTAAAATATAGAAACTGCCTCCAATATATCTCTATTTATTCATTCTTCTTTTATGTTATCATTGTTATATATATTAGATCCTTATATGTTATAACTGTCATTTATATTTCATATATATTTCATATAATGTCATTATATATTTATAACTGTCATTTTATATAATATCTTAAAATCACTTAAGAAAAGAAAAATCCATATACTCCACAGTCTTTCATATTTACTTATCTACCTTTTCCAATTTTTTTTTTTTGCTGGCAGTGCTAGAGATTGAGCTACATCCTCAGCATCCTCCACCTTTTTAAAAAAAAATTTTGAGACAAGGGCCCAAGCTGGTCTTGAATTTGAGATCCGCCTTCCTCAGCCAGAGTGCTAAAATCGTAGGCAGACATCACTATACCTGACTTTTGCAGTCATTTTTGTTTCTTCATATAGATTTGAGCTACGGCATGTTGTCATTTTCTTCCAGCCTGAAGAGTTTCCTTTAATACTTTGCGTAGGAGTGTGTGCCAGAAAATTGCGTTTTTGCTCATCTGAGAATGTCTTCATTTTACCTTCATCTTGGAACAGTTTTTCTGGATGTTACATTCTTGATTGACAGGTTTTTTTTTTTTTTAATCCTTTAAGCATTTTGAATATATGCTGCCGTTGCCATTGTTCTGATGAGGAGTCAACTGTTAACTGCATTGCTGGTCCTGCCTGTAATGTGTTACTTTCAAGATTTTTTTCTTTGTGTTTAGCTTTCAACTGCTTGACTGTAATGGTTCTAGGTGTGAATCTTTTTATTTAATGCTACTTGGAGTTCACTGAGCTTCTTGGATGTGTAGGATAATATTTTTCATCAAATTTGAGGACTTCTCCAACACTGTTCCTCCAGCACGTCTTCCCCGCTTTTCTGTCTCTTTTCCTTCCGGAGCTTTGATATGTGCACATTAGTGTCCTCAGAGGCATCTGTAGATCTCCAAAGCTGCGCTACTTTTCTTCATTCTGCTTAGCATCTTCAGGCTCATTAATTCTTTCTTCTGTCATCTGAAATCTGAGAGTGCATCTTCCTAGTGACATGTTCTTTCTGTTATTGTACTTTCAACCTCCAGGATTTCCACTTTAGTCTTCTTTTATAATTTCTCCCTTTGAATGGGAATTCTTTAGTTCATGAATCATCATCATCAGACTTTCCTTTAATTCTTTAAACAGTTTCTCTTCCTCTTTTGGACACATTTACAGTGACTTCTTTGGAGTTGCTGTCTGCTAATTCCAACATCTCAATCCTCCAAGAGTTCCATTAGACATCTCATATATTTTTGTCCAAAGACAGAAATTCTAGATAAAATAGCAATTTAGGATTCTGATTGTCCACTCCCCACTCCTGGAGTAGCAATGGGTCATTGTTTGTTGGCTTAATAACTTATCTGGACTACTAGTTCTGTGGAATCCGTCTCCTCTGTGGTGCATAGCCAGTCACATTTGTGCTAATTTTTAGAGTTTTGTTTTTTATCAGCAAGTCTGATCTCCAGCCCATTTATGACAGTTTAATGGTCAGCCGATGACTGGTCAGAAATTGTGCTCAGGGGCTGGGGATTTAGCTCAGCGGCAAAAGCGCCTGCCTGGCAAGCGCAAGGTCGTGAGTTCGGTTCCCGGTACCGGAGAAAAACCAAAACCAAAAAAAAACCAACAAAACAGAAATTGTGCTCAACCACCTTGGGTTATTAAGTGTCCCATAGCCTTTGTCAGTGGATCTTTATGTGGCTTGGGGAACACATTCAACGTTCAGAAGTTTTTGTCTTCCTTAACTTCTACTTTCCACCAGGTCCTCTCATGTCTCCTTTGTGGGTGTGCAAGAACTCATGTTCAGCCAGGAGTGTGTCGATACCTTTTCTGATCTCTCTTCAGTGTGTATGCAACTTTGTGCATGTGCAAAACATTGTTGTCTGCCAGAGAGCAAGGTGGGAGTTTATCACATCTCACTATGGCAGCCTCATCCCTCATATCCATTTTAAATTTCTGGCCAGCTCACCAGTCTGTCTCTTACCCGAAATAGGATTGTAACCTCAGGCAGTGACATTCGCCTGCCCTGTTCCTTTGCCACCAAGATTGCTACTATATTTGGTAATGCCTGGGCATGTGAGATTTCTCTACTCTCTGATCCAAATCAAGTCAGCTGTTTTTTACACAGAAACTGCTCATTTTCACTAGAACTTTCACAGCAAAGGAGCAGGAATGGGAGAATAAAATCCATCAGAGACAAAGATGACAGACTCCCACTATTCTTACTTAGCTCATTAATTTTTCTTGAATAAACTCTACTGAATCTCTTCTATGCCTTTGGTTGATTTCTAGGCAAAGAATAGCCTTAAAGTGTTAGCTATTGATAGTTGTCCAATTTTATTATTGCTTCTTGGAGAGAGGATTTGCCAGGTTCCTCTCTTCTCCATTCTAGAAGTTCTGCTTCTACATTAGAATTTAAAGGTGATTAATTCTAAGATTACCACTGTGTGAAGATGATGATATCCATGCTGTTAATGGTCATCTGTTACAATAGTGGCTTTTGCTAATGAGTCATATCTCCCAGTTTGATGGACCTGTGACTTGCTTTCAACAGCAGAATGCAGCAGACACATCAAGGTGCCAGTTTTAGGTCTAAATACTAAAAATGCCTGGCAGCTCCTGCTTTTATGCTCTTGGAAGACTAAACTGTCCATCAAGAAGTTTAGTCACCCTGTGGAAAGACTACAAAGGGAGAACATGCAGAAAGTGAGGGACCCTAAGAGCATATGGAAGTAAGGAATGTAGCTAACATTGAGAAAGGAGGCCCCAGAAATTTGTCCCAGATGAATCAGCGCCAGCTTAGGCCTGTGCATGTGTGAGGAAACCATCATCATGGAAGGTCCAGCCCCAACAAGCCTCATAGACAAGCAGAGATGAACCATCCCTACCATGTCTTACCTGGATTCCCAACTCCCCAAACCATGAGACACAATAAAACATGATGATCATCTTAAGCTATTACGTCACAAGCAGTTAAATCAACAGATAACCAAAATATTCAGAAAATCTAACCAGTCAGCCTTTTGTTCCTGCTTTTAGCTCATACACATCTCTCAGGTTCAAGAGCCTCCAGGGTGGGCTCACTCCTCCCTGTCCAAGGTGTGTTGTGTTCTGTGTACATGTCACCTGCAGCTCAGACAAGTTCCACTTTGCACAATGCCCTCCAAAGGGCTCAGCAAAAATAGGCCCTTAATAAAAGGTTTTGTACTGACACTCACAGTTAATATGATCATGAGTCACACCAACTATTACAGTCCCGGAAGGGGAATGTTTTTCCCTTCTGAGCCACTGACTCATGCTGGCAGGATCAAAGCAACACTTCCTTATCTGCATGCCCTTCTCATCTTAAGGACCCTCACCAATAAAGCCTACTGATGCTAGAAATCTGTTTTCACCCTTGGGTGCTATCAATTCTGAGCCCGTTCCGAACATGTGCATTTTATTTTCTCCAAAGCCAAGGCGTCAAGGTCAGACCCCTACTTACATGGAAGGAGCTCAGTGTCAACTGGATGAAGAGTCGTATAAGTTTGGAAAATCCTTGAACTTGGTCATCAGTGATGAAAGAGAAGAGGATCTCATGAACTCCCAATAGAGGAATGAGGAGCAGTGTTGATTTTGCCAATCTGCAAATGACAATCAAATGACAATCATGAGGGCCACATTGTGACTAGACAACATCTCCTGCTCTTCTGTGCATGTCTTTATTGCAGTTCTTATCCTCTTGATAAATAGTAGATTTTCCAGTTGGTCTCCTTGACTACACATTTAATACTTAAGGGCCATTGTGGTCTTATTTGTTGTCACATCCCTACAAATGGTAGAGGCTCAGGAAACATGAATGAATGAATGAATGCTCCCATGTGGGCTACTCTTGCATGTTCTGCCTGATGAATAGATTTAGTGTTTTGCCGGATGAATAGATTTCCACGGATGAGGCTGTCATCCCAACACACTCCCATGCTAGACAAGTTCCTATTCATGGAGCAAGTGCCATTATCACTTTCAGCAAGTGTGTCATAAGCAGTACTTTCAATGTTAGCCTGAGAAGGGAAAGGAAATGAGTTACCCAGATTCATGCAGATACTAAACAGCAAATCTCAGCCTGGAAGTGGGGCCTCTGAACTAATACCAGGCCCCGCATACTCCATGCTAGGGTTTTCCATCAGCCCTCTTGCTGCCCTTCAACCTGGGCTAGCAAAGGGCTGCAGGAAATGAAAAGCTGATCCTTCTCATAAAAAGTGTGGCGTGGAGGTTCCCTGTTGTATACAGTCTACACAAAAAGACAAACATGCCTTTGTACCACCCACATGTAATGTGCACAGCTGGAGCTCAAACGCTTCCGACTGATGGATCCTAAACATGGCTATTAAAATTCCTTAAGAGCTTTTGAAATATATACAGTGGGCCCTTTGTATATCTAGGTCCCACATCCGTGGATTCACCCAACTATGGATCAAAAATATTTTTTTAAAATTGTGCCTATCTTGAACATGTACAGATTTTGTTCTTGTCATTAGTCTCTAAACAATACAGCAGTATAACTACTTGTATAGCTTTACATTGTTGTAGGTATCAGAAATAATCTAGAAACAATTGAAGTGTACAGGAAGATGTGTGTAGTTTACATGCAAATACTGTGCCATTTTATACATATATTTGAGCATCTGTGCGTTTTAGTACCTGGGAGCAGGGGTTCTGGAACCAAGCCCCACCAAAGATACCAAAGGATGCCTAGACATAGTATACAGTACCACCCAGGGTTCTGGTGTCAACCCCCTGGACCCAAACCTCTGGATGTTCAGTCCTGGGAAGGTGAATTTTGCAGAACTGCCCGCGGGATCCTGATAAGAAGCCACTTTTAGGGATGACTGCTCTTTACTATTGAGTTGCTTCTTCATTTGAAACTAACTACATTAGCGAAGGTGACTCATTCAGGGTACAAACAAAGCTGCTGTCTTATACACATTGGAAAAAAGAAGCTTAATTGTAGTGCATTTTTAGCTCAAATTGCTTCTTTTAAGGAGCAGAGTAGGCAGAAGTCCCCCAGCTCTAGCACCACCACCACCACCACTGCATCCCCTGAAGGCAAAGATGTAGAAACCCAGAATACCCTCAATATTTTATGGGTTGTTTTCAAGAAGAATGAACTCCATCCAAGAGAAAGAGCTTACTAGAATCCTGTCTGTAAGGCCCATTCAAATGCAAAGTCATCAGTGAAACAAAAACCCTCACTTTGTTGTCTGAAAGGATGTAAAGCCAGGAAGAGGCAAGCAGAAACCACTGTGCAGGAGGGACCCCACCCGGCCACCTGAGCCATGTCCCAGTGCCTTGCTCCTCAGGGGAGGGCCACAGTGGAGAGATGAGGTGTACACTAAGCTCACATCTACTCCCAAGCCCAGTCCCATGCAAGCAGGAACCGCTGAGCTAGTGAACAGTGACATGCTCCTGAGGTCAGACTATGTCAAGAGCTTTATTTTTATTTATTTATTTTTTTGATGTTGTCCACTGAACCCAGCACTTCATGCATGCTAAGTATATGCTGTATCTACCCCTGGAGCTACATTCCCAACCCCCAAAGGTATGTTTTATCTCCAGGAGGGTTTTCTGGTTTTTTTTTTTTCTTGGTACTGGGGAATCAAACTCAGGACCTTGCGCTTGCCAGGCAGGCGCTTGTGCCGCTGAGCTCTACCCCTGGCTCCAGGAGGCTTTTTAAAACCCTCTGCCTCAAAGATTGCAAAACGTTCATTATGGGTTGGATTTGAGCTGCAGTTTTGTTGAAGTTATATTTGAATTTTTACTATGCGTGATATTTTTAAATAGTAAGGAAATGTCAAGCAAAGATATTCAGATTTTCAGCTTCTCTAGAAAATGGGATATCTGGCAACCCATGGCCCAAAACTACTACTTGGCAATCGTTGGCCATAGTCAGGTGGTTTCTGTCCCCAACCCTCTAGAGGGGACCTGGACTCTCTAGCCCACGCTGGGCCTGAACTTGTGTTATTTGCTTGGCCCTTGCACATGCCTGAATCACGACCTTTGCTCTGGGTTTTAGTGGTCATACTGCCATGTTCACTGTGAGCCCTTCTCTTACCATCAAATCGTCTTAGTATAGATTTTTTAAATAAACTTTTTATGTTGGAATAATTTGCATTTACGGAAAAGTGGCGAAGGTAGTACAGAGTCTCCAGACGCCCTTCCCTCGGTTTCCCCTAAGGTTAACCTGTTATGTGAAGGTAGTACATTTGTCAAAACCAGGAAGCCTACATTGATCGAAACATTGCTGGTAACTAAATGCTGGATTTAATTTGGATTTTATCCATTTCCCAACTAGTGTCTTTTTCATATTCCAGGATCCCACATTTCATTTACTACGGGATGGTTGTTTTTAAAGAATAAAACATCTTTTTATAAAGTTTTGAGTCATTTTAGTCACTACCACCCCTCTGGATGGATGCAGCAAGGGATTCTCCACTACTCCTGTTACTCTAACTTCTCCTTAGACTAAAATACTGTTTGTGTCCCAGTTCAGATGAAAATCCATAAATAGCCATCACAGTTTACTTCTGTGGACTGTGTACACTTCTTTTTCACCCACAACCATTTGTTTATTGAAATGGTACAGTTTATTACAGTCATTTAACTATTCAGCAAATGTTTACTAAGCATCTGCTCTGGGTACAGGAGCGAGCACAGTGGGAGGAGAAGAATTGTAGCCAAAGGCAGCAGGGTGCAGAGACCCACGTCCTGGGGCTGGGTTCAAATACTAGTGTCATCAATTACTAGCGAGGTCACCTCGGGCACATTATTTAAGCTGTCTATCAGTTAGTTTCCTCATCTGTTGAAAGACAATTATATTAGTAATCACATTTACATGGTAGGGTCATCATAAGCATCAAACAAACAACTTGGGGCAAACCTTCAGAACAGAGAGTACCTAATGCATGACAAATGATCAATAAGTGTAGATTATCACCGTTTTTAAAGAATCTGAACATACAAACTCGCTAATTTCTCCCGTCATTACCATTGTATCACACCCCTTTTATCCAATGATTGTTTAATCAAACCTAGCATAAAAATGTACAAATTTGACTGTTCCTTTGGTTTTTCATTTCCTTATAAAGAATCCTGAGTCACCTAAGACTTCTAATAAATTCATATGCTTTTGCGCTTGTTAATCTGTTTTATTGCTGTGTTTTTAGACCTAGCCAAAGCCCTAAGAAGTTCAAACAAAGGAAACCCCCTTTCCCCCTCCATTGCCCACCAGAGATCTTTTCAGAAAAGTCTATGAGGTTTAGCATGTTAAGAAATGATTCTCCTCTATAAATTCATTGCAAGTTTAGTCTCCACATACCACATGGGAAGCTAAACTCATTTATTTAGGGGAAAAGAGTTACCTCCCTACTGAGAAACAAAAAGAACAGAGAACTCCAAGGGATCTGAAGGCTTGCCGGACCTTGTCTGTGTTCCAAGGTCACTGCTTGCCCTTTAGATAGCTCTGAAGTTCCTCCTTTGTGCTAGCCATACTTTCCCTCACCAAGCTAGAGAGATGGGCCATTTATTGTTTCCTTTGATTGCTGGCGGAAGCCCAGGGATGAGGGCTAAGAACACAGAAGGTTCTCCAGCTCCTAGAAGTGTACTTCCTTGGCAGGGCCTAAATGTGTTTCATTTAAACTTTCCTAAAATACACTCCTGGAGTGGGGCCAGATCTTAGGCATTACTTTCTGAAAGTTCTCAAAATCTCAGAGTTGGAGGCAGCCAACATCTACTGGAGTTTGGTTGACAGGTACTGGGCCCTTGGTCCCCTCTTCCCTACCCTCAGAAGGCTTCCAGGGAAGGCGAGCATGAAGGAGAGACATGGGACAGGAGCCAGCTCCCAAGGTGGAGATGGGTCCTGTGAAATCGGGATGCTGATGATCCACTGAGGGACTGTAGACAGTGCTCCAGAACATGAAAATGAGGGAATCTGAGCTGGTTCTTCAGAGCAAAGTGGACAAATGAGATCTAGAGGCTGTAAGATTCTCCAGCTTGGGAAGTAAAATAAGGTGGCCTGGGGCTTCCTGAGAGGCAAATCTGACTCTTTGCTAATTAATAAACATAAACTAATGAATCGTATTACACACAGAAAATGAGAAAGCAAACAGAAAGGAAACGGCCAGTCAATAGGTAGCGGAGCACAAAGAGGGAGGAGATTCTAGCTGCTGTCCCACCCTGCTCACTGGAGGGTGCACTGACCAGGGGCACGAACCACCTTCTCAAGATAGGTGATTCTATGGCCAGTGGTGGTTTCTCGGGAGTCCTGAAACTCCAACCTTTCCACATTGACGGTGTGCTCTGGTGATTTCTGCACCTTCTAATGCAGGGAGTAGGACACATTGAAGCTTGTGGGTCCTAGAAAGGAATACTCTGCCTCACCACAACTTCCAAATACATTAAAAATGAACAGTGTCTGCTAGGACATTAGCTTCTAGTTGCAAGTTCAGTGGTCATCAGGCAGCCACATAGGAGGTAGGGGAGGTAGGTCTACCATGCAACCTCCAGGTGACTGTAAAACTCACCAAGGTCAGGCCTCTCAGGGCAAAGCCTTTGGGTAGACACGCACCTGAGCTCCTCTTCTCACACATTTCCCTCCAGCAGGGTGGGGAGAGGAAAAAGAAATGTTCAGGCAGATTTTATATGTCAGGAAAGCTTACATTTCCACTCTGCAAACATCTATCCTGGGTCATTACTTGGCCAGGTCTTTATTTACCCTTCTCCCTAATTATGGCTTCCAAGTGGGTGTGCACCCTTCAGGGCTGTGCAAACCAATTGATTTAATATTGGGAGAAAATATAATCATAGAGGATAATAGGAGTATTATGTGTACTACTTTTATCTTTTACTTTCCATTTTATATATATAGCTAGATAGATTCATTATTAGACTGCATATATATGATGGAGGACATGCTCAAAATTTCTTTACTGTCAGTATGTTAAGATCAGAAAATCTTAGAAGCCATTCTCTTGGATAACTGTACAAGGTGCCCTGGAAAAGAGGATAATGGGGCTGTGTAGAAACACATTCACCGTGGCCCAAGCAGAAAATTCCATGTATTGCATATCACTAGAGCACCTGATCAAGGAAGTCTGTAAGAAGTTCACATGGTGGGGCTCTGTCTTAGTTACTTTTCTCTCATTGCTGAGACAAAATACCTGACACCCAAAGCTAAAAGGGAAAGGTTTATTTAGTTCACAATTTGTAGAGGTTTCAGTGCATAATCACCTGGTTCCAAGGCAGGGTGGCACATAGCAGGGGGCGATGGTTCATGGTGGCAGAAGACAGCAAAAGCAGCAAGAGCAGAAGGGGGAAACAGGACTATTTCTGCCCCCTTTTATTTTATCCAGACTTCTGGATTAGGGCAGTGCCAGCCCAATCAGTGGAGCGATCCAGCAATCACCCAGCATTAATCCCAGCACCCTTAATCCCAGCATTACACTACAAATCAATCACACGCTCTAGATTCGGCCACCTCTGGAAAAGCCCGCCACCCCCCCCCCCATCACTGCATGAGGCTTTGAGGGGACAGCAAGACACAAACCACAACAGGTTCCATCTCACACTTCTTGAGTCAGAATACCCGCAGGTGGGGCTCACAAGACTGCTCTGAGTGAGCTTACAAGTAGACAGGATGGAAAACTCCTGTAGGGGTCACTAAAGGGCTTGAGCATGGGAAAGATCCCAGGGGGACGCAGTGGGCTTTGAGAGCACAAAGCAACTGAGATGAGGCTCAGAGTCCCTCACAACTCATCTGCTTCCAGATTCTGTTTCCTGGGGGTATTTACCTCTGTCCGTTTCGGGGGCACCCTGTCTGCCTTCGTATCTGGTTACTGAGAGGACCACTCTCCCTGAAGGGACTCAAACGGCCCTTTGAGCTCCACCTTCAGAGGACTTAGAGAGGCTGAGCCATGGGAAAGGAGCCAAAGAGGCTGCTTGGCCACTTGGAGGCCTGGCTAGAGGCGCCAAGAGAGACAGCATGACTGCCTGAGGATTGGGCCAGGCTGGTTCCCCAGGGATAGGGGTGTCTGCAGAATGTTTGGGCCAAAGCCCTAACTAGCAACTATAGTATATCTTTGCCCATTCCTGAACCCACTATGTTTACCCGTCCAGACCTCCAGGAGGGAGGAGTAGAGGAAGACAGGATTTGGGGTCTGGATACTGAGAACACGCTTCTCCCTACATCTGATTAGATTGGGCCACCCATATCCACAGCCTCCTCAAATCACCATAACAAGCAGGAGATTGTTCTGCCACAACATTCCCGTTTTAAACACCAGAAAACAGGCCAAAGGCCAAGCCACTTCCCTAAGGTCTGGGGGTGTGACCAGCCCCTCTCCTCCGGTCTCATACTCCACACCAGTGTCTTAGTCCTTAGTAAAGTAGCAGGCCTATACCTCAGAGGCTGGATCTGCATTACTTTTGCCTCCTGTCCCAAGCACAGTGCCAGGAGTTTTGGAGGCATTCATTAATTATTTGTCTGGTCTTTGTTCCCGGCCCTTGGATAGCCTCAGAAAGAGTGAGAAGCAGGACTGGAGCTGTCTTTACTCACACCCTCCTCCTCTGGACAGCTAGGTGAACTAAATTCCCTATTATTTGAGTTAAAACACTCCCTCCTCAATAGCCCTGCTGAAATGCACCTGCCACCTTGAAAGTAAAGAATAACTAGGAAAAGAGGGAAGGAGCCTTCTACCTCTCATTCATTTGTTCACTGTTCATTTATTTCAACAGCAGCACAGATCTCAAATATACGTCTGATTTATGACAAACAAGGGCTGCTGTCACCACAGAAAGCAGAAAGCGAGTCACAAAGAAAAGTGAATGTGTGCAGTGTGTTTCCTTAGATTCTAGAAATTTGTGGCTTTATTTGTCAAGGTCTCAAAAACACTCACATATTCTCTTCTGAGTTACGAATATATCTTTTATTCTGTTGCCTCAAATCCTTCCCCAAGGAAGGTAACTACCAAGGCTGTATGTTCTCCATAAATCACTCATTCTGAGGGACACTGTAGCAGTCCCCTGCTGAGGGAAAGAGCGTGCTTTTGACTACTTACCATTACTTCATTTTCATGAGATCAGAAGGTCTCTGTCGTTGGCAATAATAACTTTTTTCAGAAAGCCTTGGGAGACAAATATAGTAAAGCAGCTTGTTCTCCTCTTCCCAGCAGAAAGACTGAAAATAACCTCGGAGTTCTGAACACTAACCTCAGGCCACTCACCTGTATTTATAATCTCGGAAGCACATTTGATGGGCTTTGAGCTTAGAAATGAGAAGCTTGAGAATTTTCAGGAAGATGAAGAAGTTGACCTTGAGGGAAAAAAGCAAATGTGGGTAAGTAAGAGATGGACTCCATGTTGCTGTAAATAGCAAGGTCAACCAGGGCTTGGCCATCAGCTCCTCTCCACATGAACCTAGGGCAGTTTGGTAGCTAGCTGGTCACATAGTAAGTGTAGTAGTAATCTCCATGGTTCCAAAGGCCATGTGACCTGAAAGTATGGGAGGAATCTTGGCTCATCATTCAGTCTAATCTTCTGCCTCAAAGATGCCCTGACCCTAAAGCCATCTGAGAAAGGTGGATGGATGTTTACATGATCAGTATTATCATCATCTCATCATCATCACTTTGCAGTACCAGTCTTCACAGTGAGCTACATCCCCAGGTGTTTATTTATTTATTTAATTTATTTTTAAACACTATATCTCTATGTAGTTCAAGCTGGCCTTGGACTTACTATATAGCCAAGGCTATCGTTAAACTCAGTGATCCTTAGCCTCCTAAGTGCTGGGATTACAGGCGTGTGCCATCACATCCAGAACTCTTTTTGCTTTTTTCTTTTCATACAGGGTCTCACTAAATTGCTGACTTGCCCAGTCTGGCCTTGAACTTGTGATCCTCCTGCCTCAAATAGCATCATCCTTATTATTAACTAGCATTTATTGAGTGTTTACTAGGCCAGGCTTTGGGCTAAGAACTTTCCCAACATTTCACTTCCTTTCCAAAACCCTGGGGTAGCCACAACTAATTTTATCCCCATAGTGTAATAAAAACACAGGCACGGGAGGATGAGTATAATTGCCACAGATGCACAGATGGTCAGTGACCGAGCTGGTGAGGAATCCCAGATTTATCTGATAGCTATGCTCCCTCCATGTAAGCAGATGCCACACCACTTCTATTCTGTGAAGAACTCCAATCTGTTGTTGTCTAATTTGAAGTCCTATCAGCACCCTGGGATCCACTGGGAAGAGCATGTTCTCCAGCCCTTTATTATCAGCTATGGTAGAAATTATGAAATATGTATACAATATTCATTACAAAAGACAGAGTCTAATTTCTCCCTTACCTTTCCTAACCCCCAAACATAAGCTAGATTTAATAACTTGGATCTAATAAAAAAATATGGTGGAAATGATACTATGTGATTTCTGAACCTGGTCCTAAAGGATGGCTTCCACCTGGCATGGCATTTCTGGGATTGCTCACGCTGAGGGAAGGTATGGTGGCCATGTTGTGAGGATGCTCAAGCTGGCTGTGGAGAGACCCACATGAGAGAATGGAGTCCTCCCACTAACTACCAGCACTGCTGTCCAGCCACCTGTGTGAGCTGCCTTGGAGCTGATCCTCCAGCAGAGGCAAACCTTCAGATGACTGCAGCCGCACCTGGCATCTTGACTCATGAGAGATCGTGGACCTCATGGAGGGATAGGAAAGTGGTTGAGCCTCAAAAATGAGGATGGGTTATGTGAGGAGATTGGAAAAGGAGGGATGGGAAAGGGAGGGTCAACCTGCCTTTCATTGTCATACTGAGGATTCAGGTTTCCTTCCCAAAGCAATGCAGAGCCTGTGATTAAGCTGAAGCAGGAAGTGACCTGATTAGATTCGTACTTCTGCATTTCAGAAAGCTCATTTTTCTTATCAGTATAGAGAATGGGTTGGACTGGAGGAAGGGAGATCAGTTGAGAGGGATTTTCAGAGTTCTCAGGAAAAATAATGGAGGGGTGAACTCACGGAGCTGCCCTGGGATTTCAGTGATGGAAGCAAGTGGTTCATTTGAAATTATTAAATCTGAGTCAAGTGAACTTTGTTACTGGTTGGATGTGAGGTAAAAGATGACCTCAGTGTTTCACCACAAATCTCAAATATGCGATAACACCATTCACCAGGAGAGGAACAGTGTGGAGGAGGAAGCACACTGGTGGTGGGAGAGGAAAGAGGCATCTAGTGGAGATGTCCCAAGGGAGTCAGAGAGTTTTATTTACACCTCAACAGAAAGCTCCCAGAAAGCCATGAATATGGTGAGATTAACTACAAAGACTGTAGATTTGGAGAGAAGAGAGACAGACAGACAGAGGCAGAGAGAGACACAGAGAGAGAGAGAGGAAAGGAGGAGAACCAATTGTTCTGCAGTGAAGAGGATGGAGGAGGCAGAGGTGACAGGAACAGAGACTAAGAACAGGGAGAGCAGCTGGAATGAGCCACATGAAAGTGACATCCTGGCAGCCCAAGAGAGGAGGACTTGTAAGAAAGTTTAAAGGCTGCATGGAATTTAGGCAGCATATGACTGCATGTAGCAACAAAGTGCTAGTCGGATTGCAATACTTTGGTTTTTGAGTGAAATCTAACGACCAGAGAGAGTGTAGGCAACGGTTAAAAGGTATATCGGTGAAAGTAAGCAGAGAGATAGCGCTGTGGTGGACAAGGGGTACAGAATGGAGAGAATGTCATGCCACTTCTGTTTGCAGAGCTGGGTGAGGACCTGAGAGGTAGTTGTTCTTTAAAACTGAAAAGACTTCATGGTGCCCCTGTGCAGTGGAACAAGAGCCAACAGAAAGAAAGGGCCATCAGGTGACAATGGGATAAAGTCTCTACCGACATTGATCCTGCACAGTACTAATGTTCCTGTCTCGAAGCAAAATCCTTTAACTAAACACAAGCCATAGAATGCAGTATGTACCTGTTTTTACTTGCTTTATTGGCCTTGAAGGAAATAATGTTCAATGCTGAAAAGCTAAAGTTTCAGGCAAGTGGCTATTTATCTAACCAGTGAGCCAACAGGAATGATGGAGGTTCTCAGCCAAAGGATATTTAGTAACAGAAAATTTAAATACAAGCTAAATGTAACCAAGTAATATATCCCTTTTAATGGGATATCTGTTTCTCATCATAAAGAGAAAACTGCGCCTGGCTTAGTGATTTGTTGAACACAGGCATTTTTTTCTCACAAAGTAAGCTTAACTGGAGAAAGGCACATATTTCAGCAAATTAATTCCAATAAGGACTGTCTCCTAGAAAAGGAAGGGCTGGAATGACCAGCATGTGGATTCTGCTCTTTTTGTCTCCCAGAGACCAGACAAGAGAAAACAGGCATCAACCAATGGCTCATGTAAGGCTCCCTTCCAGGTTCTGGACATCTCGGCTACATTTTCAGGTGCTGCATACCTTTTTCTTCTCCAGCGTCTGTCCACAGGTTGGCGGAGGTGGTTGCTAGCATGACAGGCACTCAGAAAGAGTCCTCATGTACCCCTTAACTCCTCCACCCCACCCCAAGTCCATGATTCCGTGACCTGCTATGTGGACTAAAATGCCTACCCTTCGAACTGCTGCTTTTGGGGAAAACACACTTTCTCCAAGAGCCCTGTTGAAGTGTTTGTGTCCCATAGAAGGCAAGGAATGATGGGGAGAGGAGGGAGGACTCCCTGCTCGTATTCATTTATTCATTCTTTTTAATAACAAGACAATGATAAATAAAAACATATCATCTGATTTATTTCCACCATGGAAAAGAGAAGACAGGATGCAGAAAAGGCAGGTTTTAATGGAGGTAGGGCAGCACATTGTCTGAGGAAAGTCCCACCATAGCTCTTTAGAAGAGGAGAGGAGGAGAATGAGGGGCTAGCTTGAGGAACCCGGAACAGCGAACAACCCCAGCCCCTGGTAGAGCAGAGGACCTAAGCGGGTAGAAGGCCAACAAAGACTCATTTTGCCCATTGTTCATGTCTGCAACATTCTTAGACTATTAGGAGAAAATCAAGGAGGATAGATGACAGTTTTGAGTTTGTGACCTCGTAAGGCTAACAGATGGTTCATTCAAATTGTGGATTCAAAAAAAGCCTTTGATTGGGTGTTCAGTCTGGTCAGTCTACTGACCACAGGATATGGGTAGAGGGACCTTGCACACTATAATCATTTATAAGGCTGGACCAAATCAAGATTTATCAATTTCATAGGGAGATTGAGGAGGCTAAGACAAAAGAATATACTGTGCTCCAGTGTGACTCATCTCTAAATGTACCATGGGTTAATTTAAGTATTGAAATATTATATAATGTCTACAGAAAGAAAGAGGTGGAAATCTCCAATTTCTATGTCTGGTGAAAGACCCAAAGAATATTCAGACTCTTCAGGTTGTCACATTTTGAGCATTTTCAAAACAGGGACCCTTGTACCAATGGAGCAGCACATGAAGTCTGCCAGCACATCTGGACATCCAGCATGACGTTCATTCATTTCACCCCAGATTCCGACCAGCAAATGCAGAGCCAGGGAAGGGAGTGTGGAGAGGTCCGCCTGTGTAACCCACATCTGCGGTGGGAGACCCCTTGTCTAAATGCCCCTCGCACTGTGCACAACTGGCTTTTCCCAGAAGCCTCTGATTGATACTTCAGTAAATAAGGCCCAGGCTCAAATGTAAGAAAATTGTTATGTACCCTGAAACGTCAAGTGCTACCAGCTCAATCTCAATTATTGTATTATTTTTTGGTATTTTAGTTTAGATAGAACACGTGTGAGGGTCAAGGAATATATTTTTTCTTAATATAACTATATTTTTTCTTATGTCATAGTCTAGTGCGTTGTGAGTGCGCTGAGCCATGCAATCATTCAGGGACCCAGGCCCCAAAAGGGATTCTCTGTTGGACTTGGGGTTATGCGTACTCCAATCGTTGGGAACTGTGGTATGTGTTCATTTGACCAAGCACAAAGACAGATAGGACTCAGTCTGAGGAGTCTCAGAATGATAATTATTAAATTCTAAATTCATGAAAACTATGAAAGAACCTAGCACCAGCCAGTATAGAGAAGATGTTTAAAGGTTACAGGGAGAAGATGGATAACTGAGAGTCCCGTGCTAACAAAGTTCTACCTGGCAGGAAGTTTGATTCCATCAGTCTGGTGGAGTCTAGGCTGGGTTTTTAAGCCTCCCCAGGTTGCTCTAATGCACAGTCCCTGTCTAGCCCCGAGTTTCTCTACCTCAGCACTACTAACATTTGGAACAGGTTAACTAGTTGTTCTGGGCAGCCAGCCTGTGCATTACAGGATATTGAGTTGCATCCCTAGCCTCCACCCACTAGATGCCAGTAGCAACCCTCCTCAGGAACTGGTGACAATTAAACATTACTCTAGACATGGCCAAATGTCTCTAAAGGGCCCAATTGTCTAGTTTAACTCTGATTTTACAGATGAAGAAATAGAAGTGAGAGAGGTCAACTCACTTGGCTGAAGAGCATATTATAAGTCAGACTCCAGATCCTGACTGGATCAGCTTCTTATACTTCACTATAGGCCTTTTGTTTTCCTTTTGAGTCTGGTAGAACATAAAGATTCTACTCTCTGGGGAGCCCTGACACCGGTGCACAGAATCCTAGAACCCTAGAGCTGTGTGTGCTGGGAAGTCATCAGGTTTAACTTGCTAGTGTTCAGGACAGAGTCTCTCGTGGGAAACTGATAGAGGTGGACACTCCAAAGTCTTTTGCTATGGTCCATGTCCATGTTCTACAAGTTCGTGGTTAACTATTACTGCTTTTGACCAGGGGGGAATTTTCCTCAATTTCTATTCAGGGTCATTTTGTCTTGTCCAAGCCCCTACAGACATAGACAACAGTAATTTAGCACTTTTTCTTGAAGACCTTTGTTGACCTGAGGATTATTATGAAATAGTCCACTGCAGGCATGCCTATTGATTTCTGTTAACTGAGGGAGGGCAATTAAGGGCTTGGTTTCCAAGGAGAGAGAGATCACTAGACAGATGTGGGGCCATAAGATGAGCATTCCAGGAAGAAGGAATATAAAGTCATGGAGGAGTGAGATTTGGAGAACACTGAGTTTCTCCATAATAGAGCATGGGGTATTGTGGTTGGACAAGCAAACAGGGAATGACAATGCTTACCACACTAAGGAGTTTGGAACCATGCCTGAGGGAAATAGTGACCCAAAAAGAGTTCAAGTAGAAAAGAGACATAATCAACTTTTACTCTAAAAAGTGAAATTAAGGAGAAGGGGATGAGTTGTAAGGATCTTTAGAGGAAGAAATGAAAACACTTGAAGTCTGAGTGGATAGTGCATGGGAATAAGAAAATAACAGCTAGGAGGATACTAAGCTTTGTGACTTGGGTATATGGGGCAGTAAATGGTGGAATCATTTGCTGGGTGGGATAAGAAGCAGGAGAAGAACATATGGATGGGAAGATAAAGAATCTTTTGCAAGCAAAGGTGATTGTGGAGTCAACCACAGGTAGAACTGTTGAAGCTATAGCAGGTAAAGCTTATTTTATCCAAAGTGAAAAGATAGAGCACATTCACCCATTCTGCTAAGAGATAATGTCCCTCCAGGAGCTAAGAAGCAGTAGGAGAAGCTGGCATGGTAGTCAGCCAGCCACAGAAGACTGAAGTAGTAAAGTGAGAGCAGCAGTTTCAGCCTGGCCACTCATTAGAGTTGTTTGAGAGCTATTAAAAGTATAGTTGCCTGGATCCCACTCCCAGAAGTTTTGATGTCATTGGTTTGAACCACTGTGATGTTTCTAATACACAATGAGTTTTAAGAATCATAACAATGCACAAAGAGCTTCACAGACTTTAATGTGTATCTAAATCCTGGAGATCTGGTTACAATGCAAATTTTGATTCAGTAGGTCTGGCAGGTGGGAGATGAGAACTTGAATTTATCACAAGCATATCAGAGTCTGATATTGGTGCTAATGGTCCCAGAACCGATTTGCAAAGAGCAAAGATGAATCAAAATGCTTTTCAATCTCAGCCACACAATTAGAATCCACTTCCTGAGGAGCCACTTTGAAAATCAATGGAGTATAATGTCTGGGAGTCACACCCAACCCAAAAGAATGTCTAAAGACACCTCCACTGTTTCTAAGAAAAATTAAGTTTGAGATGTATTGTAAGCTATCTGTGTAACTTCCAGAAGATTGCAGAGTGAGTATTGGGGATCCAGCGGGGTAGAGTCTGAACTTCATCAGAGAGAGCACTATTAGCTTCTCTCCTGCTTTATTAGTCAGCAAGAACCTCCCAGAACCTGGAGAGTTGGTCACAAATACTCACTGAATAAAATTTTTGAGGGTCACCATATATTTGGGCTAGCTTGCCAGGATGAATAGAACGTGCAGTTTACAATGGTACCAAATAGTTTTCAAATAAACACTTGAAGTTTGCAGGGGCTGAAGGTAACCCAGGAAAGATGCAAAAGAGGATATGACCGTTTCTACTTTGTGACCTGAGTGTCCAGATCCAGATGCACAGAGAATTTGATACTTGACCTGAGACATGAAAGATAAGCAATGGATCACCAGTGGACAGTTTTGTAGAGCAAAGAAATTGGGACCTGGGGAGAGTCTGAACCAAGATATTAATGTCTAAAGGAGCCTGCAGCAGCCAATATTCCAGGCCCAGGCTCTGGAGGCAATCAACATGTTTTAAGCAGCTGCACAGTGTTATAGTTACAGGTGCCAGCTGCCACCCAGGCAGACCCTTGGGCTGAGGTCCAGTTCCCACTTACTAGTTCTGTGACTTCTCAGTAACTTCTCATCTCAAGGCCCTTGCCCCAAATAAACATAATACTAGCATCTATCTCAAAGGTCAGTTGGGAAGATGAATTGAGTTCATACACAGAAAGCACTTAGAACTAGTGCTACTATGTAGGACGCACCCAATAAATACTACCAGGCAATGGCAGAGGTGCCTGTGTAAGGAGATGGGTGCTGGAACCCCAGCTACGCAACATGGCCCATGGTAACATGAGGATGCGAGACAATGCTACAAGTGGCGTGTGTGTGTGTGACTGCATTTGGAACATTTACTCTTAGCTGTGTATCCAGTGGCTGAAGGGAAGACCCCAACAGCTGTGATCACCTCATACCCCAGACATGATAGGACCCAGTCCTTGCAGTCCCCAGACTCTCTGCACCCTTGGTCTCCTGCTTTTTTAATAAGCATTCTTCCCTCTAGGTCTGAGCAGAGAGCTGCCTTGTATTATTGACACATACTGACATTTTATGAAAACTAGATGTATTTTCTTTCATGAGACCACATTATTTATGTAGAATAGCAAGTCAAGCAGCTTGTCAGGGAAGAGAGTCAGCAGAGCGTGGAATACAATGCCCAACAGCCAGCCACGATGGCCCTAGGTCTAAGTGGAAGATTTTCACCTTCTATCCACAGGTCAATCTTTCCCACTTTTGGATAAGTCCTTGGCCTCTCCCTCAAGCATCTTTGACAGATTTCATCTCCACACACTACAATCTAAAGGGACCCTGTGACTCAAGGTCAGACATCTCCTCTCATCCCAGGTATTCTAGCCGTAATGAATCAAGGCCCCTCCGCTTAAGGTCTCCGAGTAGCACCCATGTCCTGACCCTACTACTCGTAACAGCTTTGTGTTAATACTGATTGTGTGTTTTCCTCTTTTAAAAGTAGTTTCCTTGATGTCTGCCTTCCTCCTGCTAATGGTGTGAAGATACGAGCTAGTTACTCTGCTGTCGCTGGGCTCCTCCTTCCCTGCCCAGGGCCTTGTCAGCATCTCAGACCCAGAAAGAAGGAGGCTTAAGTGTAACTCTGAATTTAGATTCTGAATCAAAACAAAGAAGTCTCTAAATTCTCATTTAGCAGAAACTGCTCACACCTCTGCCTGTCCTTGTCAGGGACCAGAGAACTCGAGAGCTAGGATTAAGGAGAAGTCCCCTGCAGCTGCTGAGCTCAGAGGGGAAAGAGGGCAGTGTGATGGTCCTTACTGTCACACACAGCAGTATGGGTCCTCGGATGATCCACCAGATTTTCTTATTCCCGTTTGTTGCCCAGCACCTGAGGGCAAAGAGCAGGCAGGAGAAAACAAAACTGAGATGAGGTGGAGGGGCAAAATCTCATGCCCTCTGGAAGGCATGAGATTTACTTTCTGCCAATCATTCCCCTGAGGGGATGGACAGGGAAAAACAGAACTAAAATTCTTTGCATTAGTCCCGGTACTGTTAGCTTTTCCTGCTTTGAAATTGTTCTTCACCTTTAACGCACTGTGTGTGGATCCTTCTAAATTTTTCGACATGATCATACAAACACAAATCCTCATATACAGATGCTTTATATTACTTAAGAAAATTGTTTTTCCTTGTTTCATATATGATATATATTATATATGTTTTCGGTGATTATTTGAAAGAAGCACGTGATCACACAATATACATTATTCAGCAGCAGACTTAAAGTGTAAAAGCAGGAACTAACTTGTTTTTCCATAATATTTCAAGATATAAGTGTGCTACTATTTAGTCAATAGCTCTCACACTGATGGGCACTCAGGGTTTTGTTTTTATTTTTTTGGTTTGCTTTTTTTCCCCTCACTGTGAACAGTGCTACAAAAAGTATTCTTGTGCTTATGTCCTTAATACCCAGTATCACATCTAACCTATACAACATTTCTATGTGCCTGTATACCTAAATTAATAAACTAATTATTAGGAGAGCCTTGATCTCTTTATCTACATTTCTAAGTATATTCTAAAAGAACAAAGTGGGGAAAGTTATGTGCTCTCTTTGGGAAAATGGTGTCATTCTATACTTGGACATATCTGGAAATTACTGGCTCATGGAAGAGTAAAACCAGGTGAATTACCTACCCGGTGTTCTCCAGCAGTGCACGGGCAACCCCCCAGGGGACAACAAATAGCACAGGGAAGGCTGTGGAGAAAGAGCAAGGAAATATAATTAACAGAAGGCTGGTCAAACGTGCCTGCCTCCCACTCCAGCCTGATGCAGCCCAGAACCGCTGTTTAAAACTTAGAAAAACCCAAATATAGAATCATGAACTGCAAGAGCAAAAGAGAGCTAAGGCAGCACTGGTTCACCCATTGTTTTACTATCAGAGGAACCAGCACCCGGAGAAGAGGTTAGATTACAGTTTAGAGAAAATCTAAGGACATTAACCAAAATCTCCTGAATTATAGACCTATGTTATTTCATCTGAATCCTGCAGCATGAAATTCTCCAAGGGTTTTGGATCTGGATACTCTTGCTCATATTCTTTAAATCAAAAATATTACCTTGAATACTTGATGTTATGGAATGCCTTATTTTCAAATTTATATTGAAGCTCTAATCCTAAGGTAATGGTATTTGGAAATAAAGCCTTTGGATACAATCAGAGATGGATGAGTCATAAGGATGGCATCCTCATGATGGACTTAATGCCCTTATAAAAGGGACAAGATCTCTCTCTCTCTCTCTCTCTCTCTCTCTCTCTCTCTCTCTCTCTCTCTCTCTCCTTCTCTCCCTCCCTCCCTCTTTCTCCCCCCCC